CGAACCGGTTTAATACGCACAATCCCATCATCAGGCAGACTCAACTCCCAGGGCAATGAGAATACGCAGCTCCATAAAGTGTTGCCAAGGTCGGCCTCTAGATTGGTAATGACGACTCTGCGTCCGTCTGGTGTGAGAAAGGTCTTCGGTGCCCAGTAGATAGGTGTTCCGTGATCATTGTTGCTCCAACTCATCTTGGTATGAAAACTCGGGCGTGAACTTGTTATCCTTCCATTCACCCAGATAGTACCGGGCACCCCAGCTATGGCTGATAAGCAGCATCATGTGCGTGTCGCCGAGTTTGAAGAAATCAGTGCAGGAATGATCGTGATGCTCAAGTCCCGGCAACTCTTTCGTCATAAATTCACCGAGAAATTCCCACTTCTCAAAGTCTTTGGAGCGCATCAGTGTCGTCTTTTTATACCATGCCCCCAACCCGGGTCGGGTATCCTCCATGGCGTGATCGCCGGAAAATATGTAGTAGTAATCTCCCTCAACCCATGCCGTTGGATCCCAGAATACCCAATAATCGGCATCCCGTGCCTCTTGGGGCACCTCAATCTCAATCGGTTTAGACCAGGCTTCCAGATGCTCATCCGAAGCCTCGACATAGGTCGGACGCCCGCCAAATATGCCGACAAAGATAACTTTCTTGCCGTCTTTGGTGATAATCGTACCGCCCGTACCACAACCGCCGCTGCCCAACGCAAGGTCTCCCGCGCCGCCGCCAGTGAACAAGGTCGGTACTCGTGAAGTGCCCAAAAGCGTACTCGTCGCCTTTGCACATATAACCGAAATGATACTGACCTTTCCAGTAGATCATGAAATTGGGGTCGGTCGAATAGTTCCTTTCGGTATCACCTTCGGAATTAACCAAGTGATATGTCGGGCGACTCGGGTCATGCATCAGCCGTTGACGAAAATCACGAGCGATACGGACAGCTTCGTTGTCCAGGGTAAATATGTGTCTATCGTCTCGGTCAAAAACAACATACCTGTCTTCTTCATTCAGTTTTGTCGCGCCATAGTTTTTAATCTCGGGGAATTTTCCGGCATGATCTGTCCACCAATCATTTTTCGAGAAATCATACCAGCTGAACGGTTGAATTGCTGAAGGCGCGTTCGGTCTCAGATCCTTAATCTGCTCTTGCGTCAAAGCTTGGGCATAAATCCTGACGTCCTTGACTTTTCCCTTGAATGATGTGGCGTAGTTAGGATTTAGATTGACTGAGCCAATTACCAGTTGTAGATAGGGGCTGTTCAGAAAATCAAACGGCTTTTCGATGGTATAGCCGGCGTACACTTCCCCATCGCGGTAAATGGTGACCGAGTTGTCCTTGTAAACGGCGGCCATCATCATGAACTGTCCGGGTACAATTTCCTGCGCCGGATTTTGCGCGAGTTGTTCGGTGGTTTGCGTGCGAGTGTTATCATCGCTGGCGGTGGACCACTTCTCTGGAGCATCCTGCCCAAAAGCAAGTGCGTCATACTTGTCAGCCGCCTGTACGGTAATCACGCTGCAGTGCTTTGGGGCTTCCTCATCAAAGCAGAACCAGCTGACGAGCGTCTTGTCCGTCGTCGTGAACATAAGGGACCTACCTTTCAGTTTTGGGTCTTGATGCAACATTTCCTGTGGCAGCGAATGCGGGACCGAGGTTCAGAAACTACTGATTGCGTTTTTTTGAGGGTTTCCCTAACTGATGTTATTTCTCAGATACCGCACTATAAAAAATCGCATTGAAGAGCAGTCTTAAAGGTCCCGTGAGATTGCCCTCGGTGCTGGGGTTTGAAACCGAAAAGAATGACGCGCCCATCGCCTAAGATGGCTTCCAGAAGTGCCGCTTTCTGACGAATCCGTTTCTCTCCTTCGAGCCAACCACTCATCAACGGATTGAACTCAGGGTATGTCGCTACAACATTTGCACCCTCACGTCCGCCTTCAAAAACAGGTCCAGATTTAAAAAAGATTGCCATCTCTGCGTCCAGCCCATGTCCGATGGGGTGTTTCGTGTCTATGCGAACCCGTAGTAATGAGCCAGGGCAGAAAAATGCATCTTCTTTCGGTTGATTTTCTTTCTCGACCACATTGACAATGCCCTTTTCACCGAGCCCGAAGTATTTCAGAGGGAGTTCTGACGCACGATTCAAGCAGATAAGCGTGCCACCGTCCTCCACAAACGCTCGCAAATTCGCCAACCCTTCTGTGCCAATCCCACCGACATACTCCAGCGGTAATTTCCCTGTTGAATGCCCGTTAAGGATACCGGAGGCACCCAAATCCGGCAGAATTATGGCATCGTACCGCGCCGCCAAATCCCCGGCACGCATTTCCGCATTCGTGAGGTTGTTGTAATCGAACTCGTGCGTATCCAGAACCCAGCGCGTCCAGCCTTCGTCCATGTTTGCTGTCCACGGCTTATACAGACCGAGGCGCGGTGCGTTCACTCTTGAGAATTTTCCACTGAACGTGTCTTCGTCGATGGATATGTCGGCGTGAATGTGGATACCGAATTCCGATGCGAGTGCTCGCATCTCCTCAATCTCTTGTAGCGGAGGTTCTGCCGTTCTAATCAGGATGGTCCCACGTGGAAACGTTTTACCACCGAGTTCTATGTCCCGTTGTGCCGAGTAGAGCGTATATTTCGGACTGTTGTCTGCGAGTCTCGCTTTGAACAGACGATTGCGCGCAATCGCTTCGATGTTCGTTCGATTCTCAAACAGGTAGTTAGTCGGTTCAGAGGCACCTTCTAATGTCCCTTCCACTTGTGAGAGTGCTGACAGTTTCGTTAAATCCGCCTCAAAAGGATGCACCACAGTGATCGTTCTTACCCCCATCTGTAAGGGCAGTGTCCAACCCGCTATATCGTAAGGACGTTCGGGCGGTGATTCCGGTGAAGGACGACGTTCCGGATAGTGTTGCACCTCAAGCAAATCCTTCGCATGTGCCCGAAACGGTTGGGACATCGAAACAACATAGGTTTCTGCGGGGTATTCTACACCATCAGCGATGAACGGCGCGTTCGCTTGATGAATCTCTACCCCGCCGCGTCGCAAAATATCCAACATCTTGAGCGTTGTGTGGATGTCGCGTTGTTGTGTTGGAATCAGGAACGCACGTGGTGGTTCATCCTTCCCTTTCGCTATAGCATTGAGTCCCATTTTGTAAAAGTTTGTCTTCAGTGTTACCCGATGCTCCGCGACGAAGGAGAGAATTGACAGTGCCGCTGCCTTCTCATATTCTATGATGTCTCGCAATCGCCACCAGCCTCCGGGCCACGGTTCAGGAAAGTTCGTTCGGAGTGTATATTTATCAAGCCCGCGTCGGTGGCCTTTCAAAGTATGATGCGGTTGGAAAATGGGTGTTGCTATCTCCACGCGTGCCGCTTCCGTCAAAATGCCTACGATGTTGTGGCGATACGGCACCGTCCGAAATCCGCCGTGCCACCATGTGTCGTAAACAGCGTTCGAAAGCACACCTGTAAATCCTTCACTCGTCAAATCGAAGGCGAGTTGCGCACCAATAAGCGAAAGCGTCCGCTGTAGTAGCGGTGGAATATTCGGATTGACCGGATCAAAGTAGGGTGGGATCACAAACCGAGGTCCCCTGGTAACTCATCTCATGCACATCATAAACAACCTCTGGAAACCACTCCTCATAAAGCACCTGCGTCAACATCTGCGTCTCTATCTGTGTCAACATAAACCAATCGCGATTGTTATCGTGCCCCGTATATTTATGATACAACCACGGGATTTCCGACCCTTCATAAGGGGTGCCGACAGTGCGATTATACCAATCCACCACGATGTTCAAACCGTCTGGATTCGCCGACGGGATGAGCAGAATTATCACATTCTCAAGAATCTCTTTGATTTGCGGTGTCTCAGTGGTTGCGAATTGATACACAAGCTCCATCGACATCTGTGAAGAGGCGATCTCTGTGGAATGCAGGTTACAGTTAATCAGCACTACTGATTTACCCTCTTCCGCAAGCGCGTCCAATTCTGGCACATCGTCTTCTTTTGTAGACGGATTAGGCAGCGCGAGTCGCCTTTGAATCTGCTGGTAGTGTGCCAAGTTCTCTAAGTTCTCTGACGTAGAAATCAACAGCATCAGAAAATCGTTACCCTCTGTCGTTTTTCCAAGTTCTTCCAACAGAACCCGATCTGAATTCGCTGCCACGTGCCGCATGTAATCAGAAACTGTCTGCCATCCTGCTACCTGATAATCCGAACCGACCTGGAATCCGAGCACCTCGTCAGGAGACCTCAACTGCGCGTGTGCCGGTTCCTGCAGCAACACAACGCACATTAGCAACACACTGAGTATACGCCATAGTGGTGTAGTGTCAGTTTCCTGAGAGTCTATTTTTTCTTGATGAAACGGAGGTGTGAAATTGGCGTAAAAAATACCAGAAATTTTCATAAAGGATTCCTTTTCTATAGGTGCGTGCGGCTTAATCTTCACTGTTTTCGTTTGTAACACAATGTCCTCAGCGGATTTTGTCGTTTAGTATAATCATAGCCTGTGACTATGTCAAGTCATTCGTTCTCTCGTAGCAGAACTATTCAATGCTCGCGAAGCACTTCTGTGGAAGGGAAACCTCATAAGTCCGATTTATAGGGCGGGGATTGTATCCTCGCCAGCACAATGTCCAAGTACTTGTATATTTTACTGTAATTATCCTGTAAATCCTTGAATCCAACAAATCCTGGTTCAGACGATGAATCCCTGAACGCCCGATTTACGTCCTTGAATCTTCATAAATCCGCACCTACTGAAAACTATTCCTCCGACAACTGACAATCATATATGCCCTTGACTTTTTTTTAATTTTGTGGTACTATGACAGTTAAGGTATTTTTAGAGTCACAATGTGCTGTAGCGCACGGTTGCAAGTGCATACTGCAAACGCACGTCTATATTCAGAGAATCATTCCTACAAAAATGCCTCTTATCTACAAAAGTCAGGAGGAAAAGGGACATAATGAAAAGGGTTATGATGATTCCACTGGTTGTCCTACTGCTTGCGGGTGTCGGTTGTGACACAAAGCAGAAGGGTCCGAGCAACCTATCTGTAGGCAGAAGTAAATTGATTGACAGCGGGAACGCCTTGGAAGCCGTTGAGCATCTCGAAAGAGCAGAACAGGAAGAGGTTAATAAACTGGAGCCACGTGCTCTACTCCTTATCGCTTACTCTCATGGACTTTCCACGGGAAGTGCGAGTAGCCACGGCGTTGAAGCCAAGTTCAAAAACCAACGGGAACAGCGGATACAAGAACTCACCGAGGCTGAGATAAAGCAAATCCTACAAATTCTCAGCAGACCGTCGCGGGTACAGAGAGATGGCTTACAGGTACTTGTTGACAAGGGACCTGAAGCATCGGTAATAATTCTCGACAGCCTCACCATAGGGAGATATCCGTCGCTTCATGAAAATTTTCCGGAAGTGCTTGTTCAGATAGGTTCTGACGGTCTTGACCTGGTTTTAGCGAAACTTACTGATGAAACGACTTCACCTGCACTCAAGGTTAAACTCGTGCAGGTCCTTGCTGGAATTGGCGACGCGAAAGCCATAGATGCCCTAAAAACGCTTCAAAGTGGAACAGGCGAAGCTACTTTGGCAATGGAGATTAACACGACCCTCTATCAACTCGGTGAGGAATCCTATAAAAAGGACATCATCGCCGGCTTAAGTCATAGTGATGTTGCTGCCCGACGCGCCGCCGCAAAAGCCATGGTCAATATTAGCGATGTCTCATCGAAAACTCTCATTGCGGGGTTAAAAGACACCGACTCTGAAGTCGTCACATCACTCGTAAAGGCACTTGAAGTGCATCGGGATGCTGACGCTGTCGACGAACTCCTAAATATTCTTACCGGTGGGTTGGACAAAGATCCGAAGCAGGCGGCAATTAATGCGCTTGACATTTATGGACAAAACAAGCTTGCGAGGGGTTTGGCAAAGCGTGTTACAATGCTACTCATTGGCGGCACAGTTAGCGACGCAGACACTCGGCTCCGTCTTGTTCAACTTCTGAAGAGAGAACCGTTTCTGAAGCAAATTCAGGTGACGGAATTGTACGACAATCTTGAGTTCAAGCTCTATGAATATCAGAAGGAAAAGGAACAGAGCGAACTCGTCAAATCGTCGCTTAAACAACTCCTTGATGCACTTCAGTAGTCTTACAATTCTTTTCTACGCGTTTTATAGCAGAACTCGCAAATCGGTGATTGGAGGATACTGGTGCTGAACAACGGGATTAACACAGTTTCGATGGGAAATTGAATCGCTTTGCCGCCTGCACTTAAATTGTTGACATAAAAATGTATTTATTTTAGAATATTCTTCACATCAGTACTTGCCCAAATCTGTAGTCCCTGTTTGGCCAGGGTCAAATACGTCGCGATATGTAGAACCTGTAGTTTTATCCTGCCAAGTTATACCGAGAAGTATTAGATCGGCTCGCGGTTTATTTTTTTGCAAGTTGCGCGCTACCAAATGGTGGGCATTATCTTCATGGAACATGCAAGTGACACGAACGGGTAAGTCTAATCGAGATTCCAGGAGGAAAAGAAAAACGGAACATGAAAAAACTTTTGCTGATATTACTACTTATAGGAGTCGCGAGTTTCGGCTGTCGGCAGGAACAGGTCATCACTCAACTTGAGGTCGGAAGAAGTAAGTTGCTAAATGCAGGACTCTCGCTGGAAGCCGTTGGGCATCTTGAGCGTGCTGAACACGAAGAGAAAAATAAGGTTGAACCTCGTGCACTTCTGATTCTTGCTTATAGCAACGCTATTTCAACGGGTGCTGCTAAAACCCACAATGTAGAAGCCAGATACCAAACCGAACGTGACCGCCGTGTCGGTGAATTGGGCGAGTTTGAGATGAAGAAAATCCTGCAGATCCTCGGAGAACGACACAGGGTACAGAAGGATGCTATCCAGGTTCTCGTTGATAAGGGGGCACCAGCAGTGCCTTTCGTTTTGGAAGACCTCGTTAAAGATCGGTATCACAGTGTCCACGACGACTTTATTCAAATCTTGCAGGAAATCGGCAGCCCAGCTATTAACGACATCCTGAAGGCAGCTGGTGATAGCAATACACCACCCAGTGTGAAGATTTTGCTTGTCCGTATTGTCGGGAGTATAGGGGACGCATCCGCCGCCACTGGGTTAGAAGCACTCCAAAATGCAACCACTGATGAAGGGTTGAAGATGGAAGTTAACACCGCACTTTATCTGCTCGGCGACGGAGGCTCTGAAGGGAAAATCGTCGAGGGCTTGACCGATGCGAACCCGACTGTCCGGCGAGCCGCCGCGAAATCTATGATGTTCCTCAAAGAACATCCAACCGACAAGCTGGTTGCTGCGCTTGGCGATTCCGATGACACTGTACGTATGGACGTTGCTAAAGCACTGCGGAAATATCCTGACGCAGGGGCTGTTGACGGTCTCGTCGCAATCCTCACAGACGGTTCGAGTCTCAGTACCAAGCAAGTCGCTATTGATACTTTGAACCAATACGCCGAAAATGGAATGGCGGATGGATTAGCTGGACGTTTAATCGTCTTGTTAGCCAATCCTGAGGTCGTTAATCATGAAGACAGGCTCCGTATCGTTCAACTTCTTAAGAAACCTGCTTTGGTAAAGCAGATTGAGGAGGCTGACCAGTACGATAATTTGCCCCATAAGCTTGACCTTTACTTCAGGGAGACCGAAACCAACGATATGGTGAAAGACGCACTCAATGAACTGCTCCTTGCACTTGAGCCGGGAGAAGATCTTGAGTCGGAAGATTAAGAAACAGTGCTGGTGATTTCCGCTGGAGCTTTGAGATTTTGTTAGATATGATTTACCGGAGAGCGGGAGGAGATTTCTAACTATGCAGAACTATCCGACCGGTATCAAGATTACCAAAGTTGAGCAGGTTACGGTCGAAATTGATCAGCCTGCGATTGGTTGTAACTCCCGCGCAACGGAGATTAACCAGCCTGACCCGAACGGGAAATGGAACGAACGTATTATTCGCATCCATACCAACGATGGCACACTCGGTTGGGGGGCTGGCAGTTGGGGAACAACTACCGCTGAAAATGCGGAAGGCGTACTCAATCAAAATCCGTTTGACCTCCTAAACCCTCAGGACGGGGTTGTTGCGGAATTCCGTGGGCTTGAAAACGCGCTCTGGGACACAATCGGAAAAATCATCGGGAAACCTGCCTATCAGCTCATCGGTGGTGATGTTTTTTCAAACGGGTTGCCCTGCTTACGACAGCACCCTCTATTTCAACGATCTCCTGTATGAGACAAAAGCCGAAGGGCTCAAACGCATCGAAAATGATGTTAAAAGCAGTCTCGCCAATGGGTTTACCGCATGCAAAATGAAAATCGGACGCGGTAGCCATCTCATGGAACGCAAAGCGGGTCTGCAACGAGACATAGAGCTCGTCCAACTTGCCCGTAGCACTGCAGGGCGAAGGCTTCAATATTCTCGTCGATGCAAACAATGCCTACACCTACGATGAAGTTATCACCTTCCTGAACGAGACGAGTGATTGTGATGTCTTTTGGATAGAAGAGATGTTTGAGGAAGAGGTCGAATTGTACCGTAACCTCAAAGCCTTCATCCAAGAAAAGGGTTTGAAAACCCTCATTGCCGATGGTGAAACCCGAACGCGCGAACCCCTTGAATTCTATGATCCCTTCTTTGAGGCGGGTGTTATTGATGTCATCCAGCACGATATGAAGGGACTCGGCGTTACCGGCTGGCGACGACTCGCGGATATGGCTGCCGCACATAGTGTCCAGTGTGCACCCCATAACTGGGGTTCTCTGCTCGGCTTCTACCTCAGTCTTCAATTCGGTAAAACGATTCCCCATTTCCTCTACGGCGAAGTCGCAACCCTCACGAGCGATGTAATTGATACCTCTGGCTACGCCTTCACCGGTGGAACGTTCACCGTACCGGATACCCCTGGACTTGGGCTGGAACTCGATGAAGATGTGTACGATGATCGCTACGCCGGAAAAGAGGACTGGCAGATCGGCTGATCCTTTATCCCGTCTTAATCACGGTAGGTGCGGTTTCCTAACCACGCCAAGCATACACCTACAATGTCTTGTTAATTATGAAATCCACCATAAATTCTCCTGATAAGCAATAGACCCATCGTACCCGGTAGGTGCGGTTTTGCGGCGTACTCGCCCAAATGCGATCTGCATTCCCAATCGCACCGGTCTTCCGTATTACATTCCTGCTTTCCTGAAACCCTTGTCCTTCGCACCGCTGGCGAGATTTCCCTTAGAATTGGTAGACGAGGTTTCCTAACCTCGCCGGTCCTCCGTTCAAGGTCTCTTCGCTGTAGGAGCGATCTCCGAGTCGCGACTGCCTATTCCAGAAGAGTGCTATATCTGTTTGTCACTGCGATTGGGTATCGTATCTGATAACCGAAAACTAAATACCCCATAGTCCCCGAATTTTTCCTGACAAATCCGCTATTATGTGGTATAATTATAGTAAAATTGATAGATATACCGCTGGCTTAAGCGTGCTGTATTTTACACCAAACTTCTAAGCTAACTGGGTAGTCCCATGAAAAAGGTTCTCGTCACGATAAGCAGAGGCGTAGACAGCTCTGTCACTGCTTGTAGCGGGATATGAAACAGAAAAAAGGAGAAGTGCATCATGTATATCAAAAGATTTGCGTGTTTAATTTTACCTTGTTTTATCTTGGTGTCTTTTTATCTCCCTAAAGTTCTGGCACAGGATATAGTCGTCGAGGATATAGAAGTCATCGATCTCGAATCGAGGAGTGTTGTCGGCGAGTACGTTGTGGGCGAGGAGGGCCTTGAGGTAGGTAGCGTCTATCTCATTGACAGGGATTATTTCGTCAAGGATATGTCAAAAGAGTTCGAAGGCGCAACGTTTATCATGACGGCAATGGACGATGAAGGCTCTAAGGGTGCTGATTTCATCACATTTAGCGTTAAAGTTCCTATAGTCGTTTGGTTAGCTACTGACAAAAGATGGGGGAATCCGCCAAAATGGGCCTCAGACGGTGAAGGATGGAAAGAGCAACCTGATTATTTGGCTCAAACCAATGAGGGGGATACGGATATTTTTGTCCTTCGGAGCAAGGAGTTTCCCGCAGGCGACATATCTCTCAGTGGTAACAACGATGCACCCGCGAACTTGGCTCCTATGTACTGGGTATTCCTAACGCGTGGTGCCGGTGGGGCTGCTGTGGAGGCAACGGACAGGCTCACGACGACATGGGGAAAATTAAAGAGTAATCGGTAGAGAAAATGAAAAAGATTCTCGTCGCAATGAGCGGTGGCGTAGACAGTTCTGTCACTGCTGCCATGATGGTGGACGTAGGTTATGATGTCACCGGCATCACGATGCGCCTCGGCGCGCCCGATACCATTGAAGTGGAACCGGAGCGTCCCAACTGCTGTTCGCTTGAAGGCATTGAGGATGCCCGCCGTGTCGCCACGCAACTCGGCATCCCTTTCTACGGCGTGAATTACGAAGACGCTTTCCGCGAACAGATTATCGACTATTTCGTGGAGGAATACCTCGTCGGCAGAACCCCAAGTCCCTGTATGGTATGTAACCGAGAACTGAAGTTTGGGAGACTCCTTGACCTCGCCAAGACGTTGGCATGCGATGCCATCGCCACGGGGCATTATGCCCGCATTGAACAGCATCCAGAGACAGGACGCTATCTCTTACGCAAAGCACGGGATGTCAGCAAAGACCAGTCTTATTTCCTCGCCGCGCTCACACAGGAGCAATTGCGCTGTGCGATGATGCCCCTCGGTGAATACACGAAAACCGAGGTCCGCGACCTCGCCCGGAAGTATCAGTTGCGAACCGCTGAAAAAATTGAGAGCCAGGAACTCTGTTTCGTTGCCGACACCAACTATCGACGTTTCCTTCAGGACAGAGTCCCTGAGAAGATTCAGGGCGGTAATATTATTGACGAAGAAGGCAAGGTCCTCGGTCAGCATGACGGTGTACCGTTTTTTACCGTCGGACAACGGCGTGGCTTAGGTATTGCAGTCGGCAAACCGCTCTATGTGACCCAGCTCAACGCAACAGAGAATACCGTTGTGGTCGGTGAATCCGATGCTCTATTTGAGGACACAATGCACGTTGAACGCATCAACCTCATCGCCATTGAGAAATTGACAGAGCCGATCCGTGCGCACGTCAAAATCCGATCCCGTGATGACGGCGGTCCCGCGACAATCACGCCTATCAGCGACACAGAAGCGGTTGTAAAGTTTGACGAGCCGCGCCGTGCTATTACACCCGGACAAGCCACTGTCTTTTACGACGGTGAATACGTCCTCGGCGGCGGTTGGATTGTAGGCGCTCGTGATGCCACTGTGGGAGGGATTTGTAATCCCGATCTTCCCTCGTAGGTTGGGTTGAAACGAAGTTGAAACCCAACTATCGTAAAAGCCGAAAATGACCTCAAGACTTATATGCCTCCTCGGTCCCACAGCAGTCGGCAAAACTGAGATAGCAATTCGACTTGCACAACGCCTCAATGCCGAAATTATCTCCGTCGATTCCCGACAAATCTATCGGCAGATGGACATCGGGACTGCCAAACCTACCCCCGAAGAACAGCAGGCGGCACGGCATCACCTCATAGACTGTGTAGACATTTCCGAATCCTTTTCCGTTGCTGACTATCAATCCCTTGCAGACACGGCGATTGCTGACATCCAAAACAGAGGCAAGCGGGTCCTGCTTGTTGGTGGTGCGGGTCTCTACTTTCGAGCGATTGTTGATGGCTTGTTTGAGGGACCGGGAGCGGATCCTGCACTCCGAAAGCGACTTGAAGGTGAGGTGGCACAGTTCGGTGTTGATGCGCTTCACGACCGACTCCGAGTTTGCGACCCAGAATCTGCCGACCGAATCCACCCCAACAATATCGTCCGCGTCATCCGTGCCTTAGAAGTCTATGAATTGACTGGCACCCCGATGTCCGAACTCCAGCAGCAGTGGCATCCGGAAAAACAGCGATATCCGTTCATCGCCTTCGGACTCACGATGCCGCGTGCCCTGCTATACCGTCGTATCGAGCAACGCGTAGACGTGATGCTTGCGAACGAATTGATAGCGGAAGTCGAGTCGCTATTAGCGGCGGGGTATGGCCGTGATACCATCGCACTCCGAAGTTTTGGGTACAAAGAGTTGATCGCGTATCTGGACGGGGACTGCACGTATCTGGAAGCGATCTCGCAACTGCGACAGAACACCCGTCGGTTCGCCAAGCGGCAGTTAACGTGGTTCCGCAAAGATACACGCATTGAGTGGCTGGATCGGGAGTCAACACCGGATATTATTGAAAATATTTTAGGGAAAATTGGAGATATTTAACGTTCCTCTTCTAATGCAACATCTGTGAAGAGACTGGCGGGCTTTTCCTTGATTTAACTGAAAATGACGGATATAATTGTCATCAATGTATCTCATCGGAGGAAAAAGATGCAACAGAACTATACTGCTATCATCCAACAGAGTGACGGTTGGTGGATCGGGTGGGTAAAGGAAATTCCCGGTGTCAATTGCCAAGAACGGACCAGAGATGAATTGCTAACTACCTTGGAAATCACGCTTCGCGAAACGATAGAATACAATCGGGAGGAAGCTCTCCGAGCTGTGGAAAGCCAGCATGAGGAAGTGACCATCCAGATTTAGCCCGGATGTGGGGATCTGATTTGTTTTCGCTTTAAGTTTATGAGGCGAAGAGTGCTAATCAAGCATCTCAGAGATCACGGTTGTTATTTTATTCGAGAAGGCTGCCGACACTCACGGTGGGGAAATTCGCTGCAGGGTATCAAAATCTCAACTTCCGTGCCGCGGCATAACGAGGTTTCTGAATCGCTTGTCACGAAAATCTGTAAAGATTTGAAAATTCCACGTCCGTAATTCACGAAACGACTGAGCAACTTTTGTCGGGGCTTGATAAATTACGCCGTATATCTCAAGGCATTTCTGAGATTCCATGTTCTTGGCAATAATCACGGATAATTGGTAGGAAGACATCGGCGTATTTTTCTATTCTCGTGGGACCAACACCATGAATCTGCATGAATGCTTCTTTAGTTTGCGGGAAATAAGTCGCCATCTCTTCCAACGTTTTGTTTGAAAAGACGTGAAACGCCGGAACTTCTTCCTCATCGGCAATTGTTTTGCGTTTATCCCGAAGTCGCTCAAAAAGTTCTGGAGCATATTCATTCGGTTCTTCAGATGCCGATTCAGATGTATTTCGGTGCTTCAGTTTCGTTCTCTACTGATTCCACACCATGTTTTTTACAATAATTTTGGATGATAGGTAAAAAGACCTTAGCATATCTTTCTGTTTTCTTAGGACCGACACCATAAATCTTGATGAACGATTCCTCAGTTTGTGGGAAATAGGTTGCCATTTCCTTTAATGTCCTCTCATTGAAGATCCGCCTTTGCTCTGTCTTTGCCACTATTCTACATTTGTCTCGAAGTTGCTCAAAAAGTTCCGGAGCATAGGTATTCGATTCTTCAGATGCCGATTCAGAAGTGTTCGGTTCTTCAGTTTCGTTCTCTACTGAATCTATCTCATGTTCCTGTGCCGATTCGGAAGTATTCAGTTCTTCAGTTTCACGCTCTGTTGAATCTACCCCCTGTTCTTCGCAATACGCACGAATGATGGGCAAGAAATCATCGGCGTACTTCATTTTTACTTTCCCTATACCACGAATCTGATTAAATTCTTCTGCTGTCTGAGGTAACTGGGTTGCCATCTCTTTCAATGAATCACGCGGCAAAACTTGTGATGCTTTTATTTCATCTTCCTCTGCTATACTGCTACGTTTGTGGCGAAGCTTCTCAAACAGCACCGAATCGTACTCGTATTGTTCGTCGGAGGCAGACTCATAAGTGTTCAATTCCACGGTTATACTATTTTCCGAATCCATATCTACCAAATCTACCGGAAAACCCCAAAACCGATCGTCGGGTGCAATTGTTTTTGTGTTGATTTTCCGACCTTTATCTGTCAAATGAAGGCTTCCATCTTGTGCATCGCACTCAAAGAGGTTATATTGAAAAAATTGTAATGCTAAATAGTACCATTGTGCTTTGCTGTACTCCATGCCAATCTCCCATGTACTAAGTTCGTGATGTTTGTTCTTAATAATCTTCTCTTGCGTCTCACCGCGTAAAATGTCAATGATATACAGAGCTCCGGCTGGCAGGCAAATTGAGATACACGTATTTTCGCTTCGCAAAGTGCCAATGAGATATGCTTCGTCGAAAACCTCCTTTGTGTTGCTTTCATTAACCCAATAAAGACAAGATAGGAACTTTTGGGCAGAGGTTGTCAAATCTACCTGCTCTGCTTTCGCCTTGCGACAGTTGTCACACATCCCGCAATTTTGCGTTGCATATTCTTCTCCAAAATAGGTTAACAATTCCTCGCGGCGACATTCTGTTGAATTTGCCCACGCTATGAACTTTTGTAAACTTTCTATTCTATGTTCGCGCTGTGATGGATGCCCATCATCAATGAATTCGGTGATCGTATCTTCATCATCCAGACTGAACAGCAAAAGGCATTCTGCACGTTCACCATCGCGCCCAGAGCGACCGATTTCCTGATAATACGATTCCATATCCTTCGGCAGCCATGCATGCAAGACAACCCGAACATCTGGCTTATCGATACCCATTCCGAAGGCAATTGTAGCGACTATCACGTCGATATTACCGTTGATAAAAGCATCTTGATTTTGTTTGCGGACTTCGGGATTCAGACCTGCATGATAAGGAAGTGAGGAAATCCCGTGGGTGCCTAATTGCTCACACAACCAGTCCACATGTTTCCTTCTTTGACAGTAGATGATGCCTGACTCGTTAGCGTGTTTTTTAAGAAACGCCAAGGTCTGTCCAAGCAACTCAAACCGTGATTCAACAGAAAGGAAGAGATTTTCTCTGTTGAAGCTATCAATGAAGTGATTATCTTCAGGGATATTGAGAGATTCTGTAATATCCGCCCGAACCTGTGGGGTGGCTGTCGCTGTTAAGGCAATACAGACAGCATCTGGGAATTGCTCACGAACCCAGCCGAGTTCACGATAAGTGGGACGAAAATCGTGTCCCCATTGTGAAACACAGTGGGCTTCATCAATAGCAAGGCATGCAACATTTGAGTCATGAAGCATTACATGGATTTCAGGTCGTTGGACGAGCGTTTCAGGAGCAATGTAGAGCAACTTAATTTCGCCACTTCTGACCTCTTGCATTGTAGTTATATAATCTTCTTCCTCGACAGTGTGATTGAGAAAAGCAGCGCGGATTTCTCTCCGTTGTAACTGCATCACCTGATCTTGCATGAGGGCAATGAGTGGTGAAACAACAACTGTTAAGCCGTTAAAGGTACATGCCGGCAATTGGTAACAGAGTGATTTTCCGCCGCCTGTCGGAAGAACAACCAAGGCATCTTTGCCTTGAAGGATATGTTCAATAATGTCTTCCTGAAATGGAAGGAATTTTTCATGCCCAAAAATATTCCTGAGAATCTCTAAAGAAGGTGTATTTGTTTGGGAGGGTGGTTGTCTCGTTTCGGGGGAGAGGCATCCGTTCTTCTTGGGCTTCCTCTTCAGAAAGCCAACCTGAAAGTTGGACGTAGCAACGTAGTTCAGCGTATGGTGTGTTTTTGGGTCGCCACCAATGTGCCAGCGACACTCGCAAGAGCGTGTCTGCCGGAATCGTCTCAAGTGGTTTTTGGAAACCGACAAAGGTAAGCGTGCAACCACCGTTTTCAGTGGGATAACGATAACGCAGTTTTCGCATCTCTCTTTCAAGGACAAGCGGTTGGTCCGTTTGCCAAAACGCGGTGCTGTAGGACGGAACATCATCTCCAGGAGGGACATACAGGGAACCGTTCTCTGTAGTTTTCAATAAACCTTCATAGAGTTTTCGTGGATCTCCAACCTTCGGCGGCATCAAGAGTTCAATAGCACTCACCAAATCTTTTGTATTTTCTGTTGTGTGGAGGCGCGATTTTTTATGAACGACAAAGTTTTCGTTATGTGGCGGGATCAACGAAGTTTCAGGTTTTCCAGTAATCTCCCAAATATCGCCAACCTCATATTCTCGGTTCGCGCCATCATGCGGATCAGCGTTAAATGGAGCGAGCCGGACGCTTTCGCCTTTTTCTGTAATCGCGCCAATGCACGCACCCTTACCCATTCGGGTTTTCGCAACGATGAGTACTCTCACGGTAAAATATCTTCAACCTCCAGATCGAGTGTTTTCGCCAGTTTATCCGCTACCAAGGAGCGGTGACATGCCTCCGGTGCGGTTTCTACACAAAACAGAGCAACAACTTTGGTATCCGATTCCAGTTCGTCCAGTAGGTTTTGGGGTTCAAACTCGGCAAGGCATTCAGTGTGGTAGGCTTCAATAAACGCTTCCCCCAATGCGGTGCGTTTACGTTTAGCAGTTTTAGTCTTCTTATCCGCTGCTGCCTGTTTGTCTCGGACAGTTTTCGTTGGACCGAGATCTTTTCGATAGAGATATCGGATGCCGAGTTCTGACAGACGCGCTTGCAATCTCGCACTATTGGCAAATGCGTAAGTTGCGCCGCGTACGCCGCGCCGACTGCGAATATCGCAGAACGTATCGACCTCTGCTTTGCAGAGTGCGTCAAAAAAACTGGATTCGTCAAAGCCGTATACGCCGATGGTGACAATTTTGATTTTCATAGTGGGTAGGATTAAGTGTATTTTTTCCGAGAATGAAACGTCTCTTCGCCGAACATCGACAATTGACCGCCTGTCAGACGTTCAATGACTTTCGCCTGCGTCACTTGCTCGTCATTTTCGTCGATATGAATGACCGGTATATCCTGCGTTATGAGGGTTGCAGCGATGAGTTTGCATCGGTGACACGCCTCTGGCTTCCCCTCACTGCACATTAAGACAACAGATTGTTGTTGCGAGAAGGCAGTGTGCAGGCGTTCAATACCGCGTTCGTAGTATTCCCTCTCCTTGACCTTTTCATAGTCAAGTTTCCCGTTGACGTAACACGTTTCGTCATCGGGTCTACCACCGAGTGTATCTCCCATGAACACGTAGCGGATGCCGTGCTGTTCGAGGGCATTCGCGAGTTGTGCTTTGGAGAATTCCGGTTTATAGCGTGAATAGGGGGCGGAGCGGACATCTATGAGATAGACTATCTCGTGTTGATGTAACACTTCGATGAATTCCTCAATCGAACGGCTTCCATAGCCTATTGTGTAAATTGGAATCAAGACAGGTGTTTTTTCCATGATAGATAGATAATATCACACGACCTGCCAGAAAAGCAATTACATTTTATCATTGCCGTTTTTCTACGGTGTATGCTATATTATGCTTGAGTAAAAACAGTCTTTCAGAACTTCATCTTTCGCACTTACACACCCAATATGAAAAACTATAGTGTTAGAATGATTCGTGAGAACATGGAAAACATCCCGCAATTCCCGATTCCAGATGGGTTTGCGATCCGAAATTATCGTCGGGATGAAGGGCATATTTGGACGCGGATTGTGAAAGCGGCGGAACCCTACATTGACGTTGACGATGGACTTTTTGATCGCGAGTTTGAACGCCATCTTTCAGTGATGGAGGATAGAAGTTTTTACCTAACCACGGACACAGGCGAGGAAATCGGCACAATTACAGCGTGGTGGCAAAATATAAATGGAGAAGTGTGGGGACAGATCCACTGGGTCGCGATTCACCCCGACTATCAGGGACGCGGGCTTTCCAAACCGATGATGTCTGTAGCCATGATGCGTCTGAAACAATCTCACGAACGCTGTTTTCTCGGCACATCAACCGGGCGTATGCCAGCAGTCAAAGTTTATCTTGACTTTGGCTTCACACCAGACCTTTCACATGAGAATAGCCAACAGGCTTGGACGGAAGTCGCATCCGTTTTGGAGCATCCTATGTTGGGGGCACGCGTTAAAAAAACAGAGAGTGCAACCTAAAACAACGGCATAGGCAAAAGTCTGAACTGTGATTTTTGTGATTCAGAGATTTACAGGATTTTCTTCCACAACCGTAAGCCCATAACGAAGTGGAGGGCGGATAGGAGGAAAACGCATCAAGCGTGAATCCACTTCATTACTCCGCAAGGTAAAATTAAAAATTATGAACAGGACAATAACTCCAACTCTCAGCGAGCAGCAGATCGCCGACTACCATGAGGACGGCTATCTAATCGTGCGCAATGTCTTATCCGCTAAGGAAACGGATGAGCTTCGCCGCGTCGTCCAGAACAGGTAAAGCGCGATGCTTACCCATCCTCGCTTAAATATCCTGAGCCAGCGAAATATACCGTGAGTGGTAACCGTCTCGCCGAACCCGGACTCACCGCGATTGCCGAACATCCGACGGTTATCGGTGCCGTGGAATCTGCGCTCGGTCAACCCGCGCATCTCACTGCCTATGTTGCGTATTTGCGGACACCCGGTGATAAGGGTGGTGGTGCGCATTTCGACTATAAACGCTGGCGACCTGTCGGTTCATCGATGAACTGGGTGTTCGCCATCATCCCGCTGACCGATTTCGATTCGGAGTACGGTCCCTTTCTCGTGTCGCCCAAATCACACAAGTTGATGCAGGTAATTGATCCGGACGCACACATCTTAGACTTCACGCGTCCCGATCGCGAGCAGTTGCCCCCTTTCATTGATCCCGAACTCAAAGCAGGGGACTTGCTGGTTGTCAACGAGCATGTCTGGCACGAAGCACCCGCCGGCACCGCAACTGAAGATCGGTGCGGGATTTTCAATAAGTATTGTGCGGTAGACGCACCACCCGCCGCAGGGTATTATCCTTACAATCCCGCCACATTGGACGCATTGAGCGACGATGGGAAGCGTCTCATTCCCGTCTGTTTTGACAAACCGATTACAACGACGCGTCTGCTCATTGAGTCTTCATCCGATCAGGAGTCGAAATTCTTGCTTCACCGCGATGCCGAAGCGGGATGTTGGGAATTGCCTGGAGGCGAAGGCTGGGAAGAGGAAAAACTCGTCGGTTGGGATGTCGGTGCCCGGATCGGTTCACTACAAGAACTCACCCAGGCGCAACTCGGTTTGGAGGTCTCTTGGATGTCCTACATTGAAGATGTTGAGGAGGAGGATGGTATCTGCCGCGTCTACGGATTCTCGGATGAAACCCTCGATCTTGATGCCTTCGCAAATGGCGGTTACGACTGGTTCACGAAGTCCGAGCTCCAACAACGCCTCGGTGAGAGTGATGCTATCTGTCGTGCTGTTGATACATGGCAGCAGGCGGATGTGATTCGCGGTAAAGGCAAGGCGTGCCATCAGAGCCGACACCAATTTGAGTAGCAGTCAGTCATCAGGTCGGATTTTTCGGAGAAAAATCCGACCTGATGACTGACAACTATTCTCCCATCTCAAGTCGCTTTTTCTGCTCTTCGAGCATCTTCTGCTGACGCTTGACGCGCTCCGGTACTAAACGTTCCCGCGGTGCCGTTGGTTGGAAGTCCAACCGGTTTTTCCCGAGTCCGTGCAGGACACCCCAACTCCACCGGTGAGAAATCGTCCGGGTTTTCGCGATTGAAATTCATCGGTTCAGCGAGGGAGACTGGCGGGTTCGTGATAAAACGGGCGCGTCCTGATGGGTTTTGAGAAGCGGCATGCAAGATAAACGGATGCAGCAGCACGACATCGCCTGTGTTACCCGTGATTTCTACGAAATCTTTGCATCTGTCAATGAGTCCGCCAAACCCGCCCGGTAACAGTCCTTCTGGGTGTTCATATAACCGCTGTGCGACATGCTGGACTGAATCGCTCGCCACAAACGTCCCGCCGCTTTTTGGGTAAATATCCGACCAGACGACGATTGTGAGTAGCCCCTGCTCTGGGCTATCTAAGAAATGACGGAAGAAATCGCCATCTTTGTGCCACCCACCGACTTCTGGAGAAGGCGGTTGCCATGGGGTGTCCGCGCCTAACCCAAAATTGATAATGAAACCATCGCCCCACCCCGGCTTTGAATCGCCCCAAAAATTGATAATCCTGTCTTCACCGCCGAGCAGATCACAGATAGCATCCCACGCCCTCGGTCCAACATCCTCAATCAGTACTCTGTTCATAGAAGGCAGATGAACGCGGGGTTGTTCCCACGTCGTCGGATCGTCTGGATCATAACCGAGCCGCTTAAAAGCGAGGGTTTGCCATTCTTCTGCTAACTCGCGCGGAAAGCAGTCTTTCAGGATAACATGCCCCTTCTCAATGAAGTGGTTAACATCTTCTTGGGTAAGCGTCCTATAGGTTTTTGCCATTTTTTAATTATTCCTTGCGGTTCGGTCAGGTGGATTGATTAAACAATGTTAACCGCCGTAGATCCGCCTACGCCGTTGTTGCCGGCTGCGAAACGACATCTGTGTAGACGCTAAAATTACCGAATACTTGCTAACAATGTTTCTACGAGTTTTGCTGCGAACTCGTCGTCATTGATGTGAGCGTCCATCTCAATAACCGTGACATTATTACCGATGTGTGCCTTCAGATTCTCGATCCAGGCGAGTTCGTGCTTCGGGAGAATCGAAGGGTTGTCCTGTTTTGTCGATAGCCGATACACCTTGGGTCGGAATGATGACCGTTGTAGGTCCCTGTGCTTTGCTGAGTTTACGTGCCATGATACGTCCGAGTTCAGCAGTCTCTTCAGCAGTCGTCCGCATGAGTGTCACTGTCGGATTGTGCTGATAGAACAACCGATCGCTGAACTTCTCTGGCACTGTGTCAGGAGGACCGAAATTCACCATATCCAATGCACCTGGGGCGACAACTTGCGGCAGTCCAGATTCTCCGGCGGCTTCCAACCGATCGGGACCGGCACTCAGAATTCCACCTACCAATTCGTCAGCAAGCTCTGTCGTCGTCGCGTCTAACACCCCGGCGAGGAAACCCCCTTTGACCAGATCTTCCATCGCTTGCCCACCGGTACCAGTTGCGTGAAAAACGAGAACTTCATAGCCGGCGGCTTCAAGGATTTCCATCGCTTTTGTAACGCATGGCGTTGTCACACCGAACATCGTCGCTGCGATTAAAGGCTTGTCTGCTGTTGCAACGGGTGCTTCGGCATTCACCATCCCGACAATTGCGCCAGCGGCGTTGGCAAGAATCTGTCGTGACAATCGGTTAATGCCAGCGATGTCCACAACAGAGTACATCATACATATATCTTTAGATTGGACATACGGACTCGTGTCACCCGATGCCAAGGTTGACACCATAATTTTCGGAACGCCCACGGGTACTGCCTGCATCGCTGTCGTGCCGATGGTCGTTCCTGCGGAGCCACCGAGTGAGATGATCCCGTCAATTTCGCCTGCCGCCTGTTTGTCAGCAATGAGTGCAGCGGCACCCTGTGCCATTACAGCAACGCTATTACCTCGGTCGCCTTCATCTCTCAAAGCCTGAAGGGATGAACCTCCCGCTTGTGCGACTTCATCCGCAGAAACGTCCGGCGTTAATTGCGGTTCTCCCAATATACCCGTATTGATAACACATGTTGAAGTGCCGGTTGATTCTATTTGCGTTTTGATGAACGAGAATTCCAAACCTTTCGTGTCCATTGTGCCGACAATGCAAACCCTTTTTGACGCAGCTTGCAAGTCAAAACTTGCTGTTATATCCGCCATGCCTAATTCCTCCACTGTCTCATAGATTTCGGACTTACGCTATTGAGTGTGTTTCTAACCTTGCCTTGATTCGGTCCTCGCGTAAACCTAATAGGTTATTATAGGGCGCGTAGTAAAGTCTGTCAAGAGAATTTTGCTGAAAAAGTTGACACAATTCGCGGGATGTGATACACTTAAAAAGCGGTTGTCAGTCGTCAGCGACTATAAGACACCACGAGAAACATCGGAGATTCTCGGTATTTCTATAGATAGACTCCGACGCTTAGCAGAGAACAGCACAATCTCTACTATTAGAATGCCAGGTGGACAAAGGCGTTATGACGTGCAAGGTTATATTGATGCTCAAACCGAAACAGATATTACTACCATTGGGTATTGCAGAGTTAGTGGAAAGGGAGAATCAGAAGACCTTGCGTCCCAAGTTGCCTACTTGCAAACACACTATCCCGAAGCAGAGATTATCAGAGACTTTGGAAGTGGTATCAACTTCAAACGAAAAGGGCTTATCTCCCTACTGGAACGTGTCTTGCGAGGCGATAAACTCCGAGTTGTTGTTGCCCATCGGGATAGACTCGCCCGTTTCGGCGGCGAAGTTATACAGTTCTTGGTCGAACAAAACGGTGGAGAAGTCGTGGTTCTCGACATTTTGCTCCCGACTTTTGAATCGAAACAGATGACCAAACGCGGGCATAGAAAGTTACGAAGAAAATCTGTTAGGCAGATGCTCACCCTCTCACACTATAGATTCAAGATGTTTCTGAAACACAAGGCTTTGGAATATGGTGTGAGAGTCATTGATGTCTGTGAGGCTTATACTTCTAAAACGGTGTCTTGGACTGGCGAAATCATCACGAATCTTGGTGGTTCAAAGGTTATCAAGTCATCGAAGGGGCATCGGATGGATAGGGATTTGAACGGCGCACGTGGGATATTTATTAAGAGTGTCTCCCGTGCTTTGGCGGTTCGTCCATCTACTTAGGTAGATGCAAACCGAGATTTACAGAGTTTTTTCTGTAAATACTCAGGTTCAAAGGAACAGGAAAATACGTGAAATCAATCGATTCTAAACAAGCAGGATTAACATCAATACAAATCTTAGTTGTCGTCATCGTTCTCGGAGTTATTGCGGCTGTTGTTTTGGCACCTCGGTTGCTCGGACAGGCGGGGCGCGCTTTACAGGCACAAGCCGCTGAGGATATTGAAACGCTTGGTATTGCTCTTGATAGATACGCCAAAGATAACGGTGATTATCCCTCGACTGAACAGGGTTTGAAGGCGCTTTGGGAAATGCCTGAAGCACCACCAAGACCTCTAAACTGGGTAGAACCCTATATTCAAATTCCGATCACGGAAGATCCATGGGGAAATCCCTATGTCTATGTTCGCCCCGGCAACCATGACCGGTACGGGTACGATCTCATCTCTTTCGGAAGCGATGGCGTTGAAGGTGGGACAGGTGAGGCAGATGATGTCGTCAGTTGGGTCCGGCGTGATGAATAATTCACGGTGACGCTCGTGCTTAAATAGCGCGAAGAGAACCCTATAAGGAGATGCGGAGGCACTTATGAAGATTACCCAAATTGACGTTATCGAAGTGAGAGTACCGTATCATGAAGGCATTTATGAACTCATGACGCGTCGTAATCTTTACCAAATTGATTACGTCTACAAGGTACACACCGATGTAGGACTCATCGGGATTGGTGATGGCGCGTTTCAGGCGGATGATGTCGTTCAGCGTTACATCGGTAGAAATCCGTTTGAATTTATGAATGGCTGGGCACCGACACCCCTCCAGCAGGCTTTTTACGACATCATGGGTAAGGCACTTGGTGTGCCGGTGCATCAACTTTTAGGTGAAAAGGTTCACGACAAAACGCAATTCAGCTACTGGTCGATTGACATGACACCAGAGGAGTGGGCGGCAGAAGCAAAACACGCTTACGCTCTCGGCTACCGACTCCACAAAATCAAAGCCCGTCCATGGTTTGAAGTGCTTGAGCAGGTGGAGGCAATCGCGGCGGTTGTGCCAGATGACTATCAACTCCGCGTTGACGCAAACGACTCATTTGAGACCCCGGCACAGACCCTTGAAGTTGCACGCCAGCTTCAAGATTACAATATAGAGTCGTTTGAAACGCCGATTCCACAAGCCGATATTGCCGGATACCAAGAAATTAAGCGACACACTGACATACCGATAACAATTCACTTTGGCAACCCGGACCCCATTGAAGCAATACGGGCAAATATGAACGATTCGTTTATTATCGCTTATCCGGATTCACGTGCTGCCAATGCCAAACGGGAGGCGATTATTTCAAACGCTGCCCATCTCCCCGTCTGGATACAAATTGTCGGGCTCGGTATTACGACCTGTTACGTTATGCATCTCGCGGCAGTGATGCCAAATGCAACCATGCCAGCGATTACACTGAATGCTTTGCGCGCTTTTGACCTTGTTACACCTTCAACGATTCCGCTTGTTGACGGATACGCAACTGTTCCAGATGAGCCGGGGTTAGGCGTTGAATTGGATGAGGACGCGCTTGATAATTGTCGCGTATAGGGAGAAACAAAATGAAAGTATCTGCTGTCTGCCGAGTGTTGGCTTTCACAGTTATTGTAAGTTTGCTAATCCTCGTGATGGGATTCGGTATTTCTGCACAGGCTGCGAAACTCGGTTTGGCGAGTGCTTGGCTTTTTGAGGAGAATGGTGGCAAGGTTGTCAAAGACATTATATGGATTCACGATGCTGACTACCCAGTGTTTATGTGGCTCGTCAAAGGCGAAGTCGGGCGGATTGATGGCAAAACCATTGTTGCTGATGGGGAGTGGTACCATATCGCCAAAATCTATGACGGCAAAAATGTTCAGATGTTCGTTGATGGGAAATTGGATGGTGAGGAACCGAGCGGTGGCACGTTGGATTCGAGTAAGTCGCCTATCTGGATAGGCGCGCGTCCCGGCAACGTTGCCGCAACTGGGCTCTTTGATGAAGTAGGCTTCTTCACGGAAGCACTCTCTGAAGATGAACTCAACGATGTTATGGAGAATGGGTTAGCCGATTATGCCGCCGTTGATGCGGCTGGCAAATTGGCAACAACTTGGGCTTTGCTAAAAGTTTTTTGACTATTCGGTTTTCGCTCCGTTTTGTCCGTTGTCCAAAACGGGTTTTTGATAAGTCTCAAGCCCTTTCAATGTAGCGATGGTTTTCGGGGCTCACATTATACTTAAATGTTTATAGGCACATCCGTGTGCCGAAGAGGAATGGAGAAAACGCATTATGCAAATGCACGTAGGTGGAGAATGGATTGATAAATCCAACAAAATTGACGTACTTAGCCCTTTCGACGGTTCAGTTGTTGACACTGTTCCCAGAGGCGATACAGGCGACGTTGAAACCGCTATTCAAACCGCAGAACGCGGCGCAAAAATCATGGCGGGGATGACAGGCTATGAACGTTACGAGATTCTGCGTAAAGTTGCGGACTTGATGGTGGAACGGGCGGGTGAACTTGCCGAGGTTATCACCCGTGAAGAGGGAAAAATCCTCGCCGAGGCAACAATTGAAGCCACCCGCGCTTCCGAAATTATCGCCCTCTCTGCAGAGGAATCGAAACGATTGACCGGTGAAACGATTCCCCTTGAAGGTGCACCCGGTGTCAAAGGCAAACTCGGCTTTACTGTGCGCGTACCGTGTGGTATCGTTGCTGGCATTAGTCCCTTCAACTTTCCACTGCACCTTGTCTGCCACAAGGCTGGTCCTGCAATTGCTGGTGGAAACGCGATTATCATCAAACCCGCGACAGACACACCGCTCTCCGCACTGAAACTGGTGGAACTCTTTTTGGAAGCAGGCACACCGCCTGAGGCAATTCAGTGTGTGACGGGACCCGGCGGCGAAATCGGTGATACCCTCTGCGGAGACCGTCGCGTCCGAAAAATTACTTTCACCGGTAGCCGTGATGTCGGCGAGCATATCTGTAAGGTCGCAGGGTTAAAGCGCGTCACGATGGAGCTCGGCTCGAATTCACCGCTCATCGTCATGCCCGATGCGGATCCCGAAAAGGTCGCTCGTGCAGCGGCGGCGTCCGGTTATTCTAATGCAGGACAGGTCTGTATCTCAACGCAGCGCGTCATCGCACACGAGAAAATCTACGGTGATTTCTTAGATGCATTCCAAGCCGAAGTCGCTCAAATCAACACCGGCAACCCCTCTCACAGAAGGAACGCGGATGGGGCCGATGATTCGAGAAGGCGATGCCGCCCGTGTCGCCGAATGGATTCAGGAGGCTGTTGCCGATGGAGCGGAACTCCTCACCGGTGGAGAGAAGCAGGATCAATTTGTTACACCTGCCATTCTCGCCAACGTCAAGCCAGAGATGAAGGTCTCCTGTGACGAGGTTTTCGGACCGGCAGTCGGTGTGACGCGCGTCAACGACATCGACGAAGCTATAGCACTCGCTAACGATACAAACTATGGGCTGAGTGCCGCGATCTTCACACAAAACATCGATTGGGCAATGAAGTTTGTCCGTGAGGTCGAATCTGGCAACCTGATGGTGAACTGGGGCACGCAGTGGCGTGCGGATCTGATGCCGTATGGTGGACTCAAAGAGAGCGGTATGGGCAAAGAGGGTCCGAAATACGCTATAGAAGAGATGACCGAATTGAAGATGGCGGTCTTCCATCTGGATAGTTAGTCGCAAAAATTGGACGACTTAGTTTTTAAACATAAACCCGCTGTTGTATTAAATCGACAGCGGGTTTATCTTTTGTCTGTATATACGCTTTAGAGCGTTTCTGTATTCGGACGGTGTCGAGTGTTGCGTCAGCGACGCACCTACAAGAAGAGATGAGGGAAAACCAGCGATGGGTTTTCCGAGAGTCTACTCTTCCTCTTCGGTTTTCGACTCAGCGATTACCTTCTGCGCAACATCGTCAGGTGCTATCTCGTAATGTGAGAATTCCATCGTGAAGTTACCGCGGGCACTCGTCATTGACTTGAGATCAATCGAATATCGGAGCATCTCCGAGAGTGGGACATTTGCCTGAATTACCTGTTTTCTCCCATTCTGCTCGACACCCATCACTTGTCCGCGCCGTCCATTCAGGTCACCAATGATGCTTCCCATAAACTGTTCAGGCACCGTGATCGCGACGCTCATAACCGGTTCGAGCAAACACGGATCGGCTTGTTCGGCGGCAGCAGAAAAGGCGATAGAACCAGCGATCTGGAAAGCCATATCCGAAGAATCGACCGGGTGGAATTTGCCATCATAGAGGTCAATTTGGATATCGACGATGGGGAACTCAGCAAGTAAGCCTCTATCCATTCTCTCGCGGACGCCTTTTTCGACAGCCGGGATATAGTTGCGCGGAATTGCCCCACCCACAATGTTGTTAACAAACTCAAAACCCTCGCCTCGTTGCAAGGGCAAGAGGTTAATCGTGACGTCGCCGAACTGCCCTCTTCCACCGGATTGGCGTTTGTGTCTGCCTTGGATGCCTTGGACTCTCCGACGAATTGTTTCCCGATACGGCACTTTTGGCGGTGAGAGTTCCGTCTCGACTCCAAATTTGTCTGCCATTCGTTCCCGATTAATGTTGATGTGCAGGTCTCCGAGCCCGGAGATGAGGAGTTGTTTCGTAACGTCGTTCCGCTCAATCCTAAACGTCGGATCTTCTTCGGACATCCGTGTGAGTGATGTCATCAGTTTTTCATCGTCGCCTTCGCGTGTTGACCGGATGGCATAGGAGATGACGGAATTTGGGAAATCAATACCTGGGAGTTGAATGGGTGCGTCTCTATCGCAGAGCGTATCACCGGTGTGCGCGGAAAGTTTCGTGAGTGCGCCGATGTCTCCTGCTTCTACCTGTGGTGTGTTGATTGCATCCTTACCGTTCATGAACGCCGTTTTTCCGAGGCGTTCAATTTCTCCTCTCGTCGAATTGCTAACTTGAGTATCCCCTTGCAACGTGCCAGAGTAGACACGGAAGAAGCTCAATTGTCCCCTGCAAACGGATCGGCAATCGTTTTGAATACCACAGCGGACATCGAGGCATCCGGTGACGGTTCACGGCTATCCTCTTCATTCTCTACAGCTGTAACTGCCCCTGCGTCAACGGGAGATGGGCAGCCAGTCAGCAGCATATCCATCAATTGTTGCACGCCGATATTGTTCAAGGCAGCACCGCAAAGCACGGGGGTAAACTGATTCTCGAAAATCCCAAGTTGCAAGCCGTTCTGAATCTCTTCATCCGATAGTTCACCTTCAAAAAACTTTTCAATGAGTTCATCGTTGCTTTCTGCAGCGACTTCGACAAGTGCTTCGCGAGTTTCTTCAGCCTCTGTCTCCAAGTCTGCGGGTATTTCAGCTTTTGCAGCGCGCTTGCTGCCATCGGGTTGCAGATAAGCCGCCATCTGTATGACATCGACGACACCGGCAAACTGGTCTTCTTTACCGATCGGGAGTTGAATAGGAACCGCCCGGGTTTCTAAGATGTCTTCAACAGTTGAGAGTGCGTTTTCAAAGTCGGCGTTCTCCTTATCCATCTTATTGATAAAGATGAGGCGTGGCAATTCGTATTTGTCCGCTACCTCCCACACCTTTTCGGTTCCACCTTCGACCCCGGTTGTTGCATCAACGACGACGACAACAGCATCGACAATTCGGAGGACACTGTGGAGGTCCCCATAAAAATCTTCTGCGCCCGGGGTATCAATCAGATTTAGTTTATATCCTTCCCATTCTGCAATACAGACTGAGCAGTTGAGGGTCGTTTTGCGTTCAATCTCGTCAGCGGCATAGTCAGCTACAGAATTTTCACTATCGACAGCCCCCATTCGCTCAATGGCACCACCATTGTAAAGCATCGCTTCAACGAGTGATGTTTTGCCTGCTCCTGAATGCGCGATAATTGCAATGTTTCGGATCTGGTTTGTCCTGTATTGTTTCATACGTCCAAAAATTTCTCCTTTTACTGTTAACCACACGGAATAGAGCGAGCTACGCCGTTTAAAACTGAATCTTAGCATAGTATGGCAAAAATGTCAAGAAAATATTTCTATCAATACTGTCACGGGTAAAAATGCCTGACATAACGTGTTTGGTTTAAGTTATAATTAATTACAGACATAAGTTTCTGAAAGGAGGCATCCATGCAAAATCTTTTCTTTGCGCTGGGTTCGGGTTTGAGTCTACTTGGCGTTGTTTTTGGAGCGTTTGGGGCGCATGCGCTGCGATCAAAACTTTCACCAGAGATGCTTGAGACATTTGAAGTAGCAGTTCGATATCAGATGTACCACAGTCTGGGGATGATTGCTGCGGCGTGGGCGGTATCGCAGTGGCAGAACCAACTCACGGCTGCATCGGGATGGTGCTTTTTCGCCGGTATCCTGATTTTTTCGGGGAGTCTCTACATCCTTAGCCTCACCGGTATTCGATGGCTCGGTGCAATCACTCCGATCGGTGGACTGGCATTTATCGTGGGGTGGGGGTGTCTGACACTCGCGGCGATTCGTGCATAAAAGCGTCTTTAAAGTTGACAGTTTTCACGTTCTCAGGTAAGATGATTAGACTTTAGAAAACGCAACCTATCTACTTTGTGCTGACCGCGAGCGTCCTATGTTTTGCTTGACGCAAAAGGCGGAAGATTCAATGCTCCGGTTATAAATTTAAGGAGAACTTCTCATGAGAAAGTTGAACATCCGATGGATTTACGCGTGCCTTTGCTTGGGCTTTATGCTAATTGGACACACCGCGTTGGCAATTCTTTACGAGTTTGATAGTGCCAAAGAAATTGTAGATTGGGAGTTGGGACCGCAGGCAACCGCAGAAGTGAAAGACGGTATGCTTGAACTTACCGTTGCCGGTGGGCAGAATTCAGGCATCTACTTTGGAGAAGACAACTGGACGGATTACCGAATGGAAGTCAAGGCACGGAAGATTGCTGGACCTTATTTCCATCTGTTCGTTCGGACGCAGGAGCCAGCGGTGGATTTCTATTTTATGGAAATCAGTTATAACTCACATACCACCTCGCTTTTCATGTTTCAAGGCGGTGCTGGGAATGAGATTACCGGCGGTCCGCGCCCGAAACGTCCCGATTCCAAAGACACCAAAGGTGGCGATGCATATACCATCGTCTTTGAAGTGGAAGGAGAAACTCTCAGGACTTACATTGATGGAAAACTGATGGTTGAAAACCAGGATAAAACCTACGATAAAGGGCGTCCCGGTTTAGGCGGCAGGGATTCAACCGTTGCGTATGAATATGTTGAAATTAATGGTGAGGGTGTCCCACCGACAGCAGTTGAACCTGCTGACAAATTAGCGACGCTGTGGGGCGAGTTGAAAAGTAGGTAAATGTAGGGCGGGTTACCATGCCCGCCTATTTTCACGCGCGAATGCAACATATAGGAGGACGACATTGAAGAAACTGACTATCTTTTTTTTCACGGTTTTAATTGCTACGCAGGTTGAAGCCGATTTCAATTTCGCGCTTCATACGGACTCGCACCCTTGGGCGCGTGAAGATCCGAAAGGCGCGCAAGAGGAAATTGACACCTTAATTAAGATTATTGATGGTTCTGTAAACTTAGAGGCTTTTGAACCCAAAGACATTAAAGGGTTAGCGGATTGGGTCAAAGCGCACACGGAGGGTGGTGGGAATACTTTGATTCTGACAGGGATCACCCCTTCAACAATTTATCCGATTGGTAATGCGAAACCCGATGGCTCACTTCTTGAAGAGTTTCTTGATGCCGGCAATACGATTTTCAATACCGGTGAATACACCTTTTATACGTCGGAAGGACCCGATGAAACGAACGGACAAAGTGCATTACCCAATATCATCGACGTTCCAGAAGCTTTCGTGTGGATGGGTAAAGGTCCAGACGCTTGGCAAGCCAATGCAGTTGAAATGACCCCGACACAGGATGGCAAAGACCATGTGCCGAGTCTGAAAAAGTATAACACCTCTTATCCGTTCCATCTTGAGGATTACGAAAAAAGCCCCTGGGAGTTAGAGATCGCGCTTGCTGAGAATGATGATCAAGATCCGCGGGTTGAACCGGCTGTGCTATACAACGAAGACACCGGCGGCCGCCTCGGCATCTTCGTCCAGACCTATGTGGTGATGTCCCACATCCGGGTGTTTCGTGGGGCGAGATTATGGGTGAATTCATCGTTAACTACTATCTACCAGAGGTTTTATCGGTTGAACCGACCGATAAATAACAACGACTTGGGGAAAACTGAAGTCCCCAGAATAGCAGTCAGCTATCAGCAGTCAGCAGTCAGAGAAGAAGCAGTCAACGGTTATCAGAAATCCTCTTAGTTTCCGATTGCTGACAGCCGATTGCTGATAGCCATTAAAAAATTGGAGGAAAAGTGGGGTATCGCGCTTAATAGCATCGCAAGCAAGCGTTTCTGACGATACCTTCGCACGAATAAATTATGAAGAAATTAGCATACTTTTTGGTGGCTGTCACATTTTTGATGAGTTGTGTGCTCGCGTATGCAGCCGATCCAGAAAAAGATTTACTTATCTATTTACCTTTTGATGAAGGGCAGGGTAACAAGGCGGAAGATGTTTCGCCTAATGGATTTGTTGGTGATGTGAAAAACGCGAAATGGGTAGAAGGTGTCGTTGGTCAGGCACTCCATTTTAAGGGTGGAAGTGTCAACTTTGATCCACTCAAAATTGATCAGCCGAAGGAGATGACGATCGAATTTTGGTTCAAACCGGACGATAAAATTGAGGGTGGTAACCGCATTGATTTGCTCTATCGTTTGAATGGTGGCGGACGACCCCATATTACATTCAACCGTGGTGGCGTGTTATTTGGGTTCTACTTTGCGACGCTGGGTGTAGAATTAGAGGCAGTCACGAACTATGACGCATTTGAACCGGAATGGTACTATTCGTCGGATCGCAGAGCAAGAAGACAGCGTGGCTGTATATTAACGGAGAGCTTGATTCCGAAGCAGAAGCCGGTGGGGATGCACGCATGGATTTCGGTACCGAAGGTATGTGTATCGCAGCGAGTCAGGGTAACGCCAACTTCTTCAACGGTATGATTGATGAATTTAAGATTTGGAGTGTTGCGTTCACTGCTGAGGATGTCACAGATAGTATGGCGACGGCACTCGCTGTGAAAGCGGGTGGTAAACTGACAATGACATGGGGCAAACTTAAGTCCGATTCTGGCGGAAGCCTCCGATAGTGGTCAGTCATCACGATGCGCATTTGACCCTAATTAAAAACTGAAATGTGGAGCGGACGGGTTGCTGAGCGGCCCTCCGCATCCACACAAGTTAACACGTGTTTCCCTTTGGTGGGTGTAAGCCAGTATTGCTCCGCTGCGTTCCCTTGAAAAATTAACTCACCATCCAAAAACCAGAACAGATCCTGTGTCCGACTGGAAGCCGAGGCGATCAATCGAATCTTTTGGTTTTCCAGCGGCACCCCTTCCCGAATGTAATAGATAGTATCTTCTGCTGGAGATAAAATAATCGGAGCGTTCCCCGCAATGGTTCCGGTACACAAAGGGTTATGCTTCGGCAGAACCGGCACGGCAAATCCATTCTCTGCCAACCAAGTCGCCGCATTGGCGGGCCACTCTTCAAATATTTGTGCCTGTGCATCCTTAAGCGAGGTGTCAGTTGTAAAATGGCTTTCGGCTTTCGGCTTTCGGCTTTCAGTGTATTGGCTATCTTTCTGACTGCTGACTGCTGACTGCTGACTGCTATTCTTACGACAATGGGAGCAGAGACTGTATCCGGTCGCTTCGTTGACATAGATACGTTTATGAATTGTGCAGACCGCTACAGACGAGATACCCGGGATGTACACATCGTCCTTATGGACCGGGCAGTGTGATGAAACGGGTGCGCCACTAAGGGCACATACTTGTCGTGTTTTCAATTGTTCCGGCTTGGTAAACCAGCGGTGTGTGTCTTGTCCTGTCAAGGCAGTAAAGAGCGCGAATAGAATAGGGGTTGCTGCCTCTGCGCCGCTCAGCATCGGAGCCCCCTTTCCATCGAAATTGCCAAGCCATACACCAATTGTTAATGTCGGCGAGTATCCGATGCACCATGCATCCCGGTGCCCATAAGAAGTACCGGTCTTCCACGCAATTTTGGGTAGGTTCATTGTTCTTTCAAAGGCTTCCGGATTTTTAACGGTGTTGGTAGGCAGTTGTGAGTCTGTTAACATCTCGGTTATGATGAAGCTTGTCTCTTTTCGGAGTAAATGTTGCGGGGAATGGTTCTCGACTCTCGGCTTTCGGAAACCTTGTAGGGGCGAGGTGACCTCGCCCCTACGGCTATTTCTTGGGAGCGTTAGCTGATAAGATCCAAATTCCCCCATATTTGCCAAACCTACGTAAAGTGTTGTCAATTCAAGCAGATTCACTTCGCATCCACCGAGCACCATAGAAAGTCCGTATTTTTGAGCAGGCGCGAGTGTAGAGATCCCAGCCTGTTTCAGAAAGGCGTGTAGCGTCGAACCGCCAACTCGTGCTTTGCTGTGTTGTATCGGAGTCGAGTTGGAGGTTCGGTTTTTCAGGCGTGCATTAAGATTGACGGCGGGGACATTGAGAGAACGTGCAAGGGCTTGACGGGCAGTGACATAACCGTTATATTTCCCATTATAGTTCACTGGCTCATATCCAGCGTAGGTAATAGGGACATCGAATAACAAGGTTTCTGGTGTAATCAAGCCCTGTTCCATTGCCAGGGCATAGACGAAAGGTTTAAGGGCAGAACCGGGAGAACGTGGTGCGAGCGTCCCATTTACCTGTCCTAATGCCTCCCGGTCGAAAAAATCGTGGGAACCTACCATTGCTAAGACGTGGCGGTTTTGGGTATCCATGACGATGATTGCACCTGTGCTGGTGCTATGAGACCCACGCAAGCTGAGTTTGCGCTCTGCCTCGAGGTATTCGCTAAGGATGCGTACCGCGGTCTCCTGAACCCTCGCGTCTATTGTCGTGTATATCCTGCCGTCTGTTTTACCCATCCACTCGTGCCTTTGTAAATGTGGAAGACGAGTGGATGGGTAAGGTTTCGCATGTGATCGGTTTTCTTTAACCAACATGCGTGAGAGATGTGGTGCTTTGAATGGAAGTGGGTAGCGTTTTCTGGGAATCGGTTCTTGAGTTGCCTCCTGCCACTGCTGTTCGGAAATTTGTCGACGTGCAAGGAGGCGGTTCAGGACTTTTTCACGCGCCTTTCTCGCATTTTCTGGGAATCTGTCGGGTCGCAAACGTTCTGGGGCGTTCGGAATGGCAGCGAGAAGTGCGGCTTCACCAAGACTAAGCGCATGCTGGGGTTTGTTGAAGTAGAATCGCGAGGCTGCTGCTGTGCCAACTATATTCCCGCCATACGGGAGCATGTTGAAATAAAACGTTAAAATCTCAGATTTGGAATAGGTATGTTCAAGTTGAAGTGCGCGGAACATCTCGATGAGTTTGTTCGGAATGCTACGCGCTTTGGGTTCCATCAGTCGAGCGACTTGCATGGTGATGGTTGAACCACCGCGCACAACTTCACCCGCTTTCAAATTGTCATAGAGGGCTGTTGCAATCGACACAGGGTTGATGCCATAGTGGTAGTAAAACCACCTATCTTCTGATGTTAGCATCGCTTGGTGTAGCCAATAGTTTTCAGTTTTACCCTTCAACTCGTCTTCCACATTTACAAAGGCACGAGTTGATGGGTAAAACTGACGACTAAATCGCCACATGCCATCGTCAGCTAAAAATGCTCGAAGCCACTCGCCGTTTCTGTCCAACACAATCTGAGATACAGGTGGATGGAGACGTGCTTTGGGTAGCGGGAAACACCAGTTTGCAAGCATGGAGAGGGTGATAATGAGGAACAGAGGTAGCATTAGAGTTATTAGTCTTCGGTTAACAGTTTTCAGTAACAAACCTTGTAGCGGTAACCGGAAACATACCTGCCATAAGTTGTGCCAAAACTGATAACTGAAAACTCGAATCCCCAACTCGTGCTTTGCTGTGTTGTATCGGAGTCGAGTTGAGGGGTTCGGACTGATAACTATTTTTCATCATTTTGCAACGACTGCAATACGCATGCTACCCGTTACAGCAGATTTTGTTGTATCGTACATTGCCTCGGCGACAATGGGAGGTAAGGTAAATTCACCCTGTGTGACGGCGCGTAGCGCGTAATAGAATTTACGTTCGCGTTGGCGTGGGAATGTACCGAAAAAGATGAGCCTGTCATCGCGAATATCAATATAATCCGGTTTGAAGTCCTGTGCTTTCAACCATGGAATACCTGCTCGGGATTCTAACCGCGGATTCTCAATCTCGAATCCTGTGGGCAACATATCGACGACAACAACGTTTTCGAGATTGGCAGTGAGGGCTTTGACGTTTACCTCGGCGATGATCAGTTCCCCGTGTCCGAAAGGTGCCTGTCCGTTCTTCACCGTCTTTGTTAAAATAGCGTCTGCGCACCTGTAGTTCGCGTTCATATTCTTCGATGAAAGAGTCGCGTTGGATACCAAACGCGCTCCAATAGTAGTAGCAACTTCCTTCACCTATGACGGAGAGTTGCACACGCGTCCCGTCCCACGCTTTATCGGTGTAGCGCGTCTCTGTTGCGTCGAAGTCGGCGAAATGTTCATCGTTGAGCGTCAGGGTACCGGTGTAGTTTCTATCCATCTGTTTCTTCAGGATCTTGCCGAGTGCCAGAAACGCAAAGGCGTTTTCTTGTGTTGTTGCCCATCGGTTCCCCTCAGATGCTGCCTCACTTAGATTTTGGACAAGCATTGGGATTGACGGATGGTTTTCGTTAACTTCGGCAAGAACATCTAACATGATGGCTTGGGCTCGAATCGGGGAATCAAGCGTTCCGCCTGTTTCGCGTTGTGCAGTACTCTTATTAAAATTGGGTGATACTGACACCGGTAGCATTGACAGAGCAGTTTCCAGTTCGCCGTTGAGGGCGAACGCCCCTGCGAGTTGAAAGTGGCTATAATCGCTGAGTCCGCTCAAGCCTCTGTTCTTCAGGTAGTGCATCGTGCCTCGGTCGGGGTGTCCAGCGGCAGCTAAGACGTAGGCGGCATAGGTTGCTAATGAAATCTTTTTTCTTATTTCTTGTGCTCCATTTTCGTCTTCCGTGTTTGGTGAGAATTTCGCCTGTGCTTTTAAACCATTGAGCATCGCGTCGTAAACCCGGTCCGCTACCTCGTAACCTGCCTTTCGTGCCTCGACGAGGAAGTGGGACGCATAGATACTGCTCCATGGGTTCACGTAAGTGCCACCGGGCCAGTAAGCAAAACGATCATCTGATTTCAACATACTTTCGATTTTCGTGATACCCGATGTGATGTAATGGTCCACTGAGTCTTCTGCTGCCAGCATCGGTTCGACGCTTCGCGCCAAGTCGCTGAAGTAAAGCAGTGGAAAAACCTGGCTCGTTGTTTGTTCCAGGCAGCCGTGTGGGTAACGTATAAGGTAGCGGAGACTGTCCGCAAACCTAATATTTGGGAACGGCGACAACGTGAGACTAAACTCTGACGAATCAGGTATCAAATTCGACGGGAAAATGAAATCAACAGGTTCACCCGCGCGCACCACTCCGTGTCCTGTTTTCGTGATAGGTGGCGCGACGGAACGCAGTGGGATTTTTGTCTCCAGTTGTGTTGTTTGTGTATTACCGTGCGCAGAAAGATTGAAGTTGACTTCCCCAATTGCATCCTGAACGAGAATATCGAAAAAAACTTGTGCTTCTGCGCCTGCGTCAACCCTCTTATCTATACTGAGTTTGTCTACTATGTTCTCAGTTTCTAAAGTTTGTAAAGGTTTCTCCGAAGCCGCCTGAGGTGATGTTTCGGGCGGATTGACATCACTTGCTGAAAGGAGTCGCACGTCGCCTGATGCTTGCAATTCGACAGTAAATTCCCCTTCCGCGCCTGTGTCGTTAAAGAGGGTAACAGGTACACGAACCTTATCACCACCTGCGAGGAATCGTGGAAATGTCGGCGTTAAGACAATGGGTTCGCGGACAGTCAGATACGCTTCCGTGCCACCGTAGTCTCCACCCGCGAATGCGACTGCCATCAACCTCAATGTCCCATTGAACTGTGGAATCTTGAATTGAACAGTACCGCGACCGTTTCCATCAGTTTTCACGAATCCGGACCAGAGTGAAATCGGCTTTACTCGCCGGATGCTGCCTGTACTCAATCGCTTCCGCAGTTCCGCTTGCCGTGCCGTAGCCGCATCCCCCCCTGTACTTGAATTGTCGGTGACATTTGCGATTTCAGGGAGAATCCCACTATACAGGTCAAAGGAGCGCGTCTTAAGCCCGCGCTGTCGATAGAAGTAGTCGTGTGGGTTGGGTGTTTTGAAGTCGGTTAACGTCAGGATCCCTTCATCAACAGCTGCGATACAGACATCATATTTTTGCCAAGAACGCCTACCGTGGACTTCGAACGCTATGGTCACTTCGCTATTCGGTAGTACTGTCACTTCGCTATCTTCAGACTGAGAAGTCTCCACAGACTCTGTGTTCCTTTCCGGACTGGCGAGCGAAATCTTCTGCATATCACCGGCATCGTTTGTCTGATTGAGCGACATCTCTATCGAAAGCCGTCTCCGTGTTTCGTCTATCTTTAATGGAATCACCCCAAACGCGCGCACAGGGAGAAGCGACTTCTTGTCAGTCGCGGCCCCTTCCATCGGGATGGCGCGAGTCAGCGTCGCAGAGAGATACACATTCGGTCTATAGGCGTACCGGACTGGAATTGATAAAGTTATGGTGTTATTTTTCATCACTATTGTCCGGTAACTCAACACCTTTTCCCGTTCGACAGTCAACAGGAGTGTGCCCGGAAACGGTGCCTTAATATACAGTTTTGCTGTTTGCCCCGGACGGTAAGCAGACTTATTAAGCGTCAGTTCCAGTCGAGTGGGATGTTCCATAGAAACTGGGATGTTTCCCCATCCGCTGACGTAAAATCCGAGTTCTGCAGTCGCCGTTGAGGTGATGTCCTCAAGACGGACGCGGTATTCACCATAGTCTGAGGGAGTTAAGGTCACTGTCTGTACTGTCTCTGCCGAAGTTAAGGCGACCGTTTCCACTTCCGTTGTCTGAGGTTCAGAGACGTACTCGTAACGCCCTGCACTGTTCTGACGAAGTATAGTGTTCCAGTGAACTTTGTAGAGGCTTAGTTTTAGGTCTCTTTCCGATGCCACTGCCATTGCATTGTTAACAGCGATGTAGTCGAATCGGAGCGGTTGGTTAATTTTTACGTCCCCCGTCGTTGTTCGTCGGATCCCAACATAATGCGAGTACGGATGGATCACAACTCGGTGAGAAGCCGTGACAGATCTGCCACCGGCTTCGCTGACGGTCGCTGTCAGAGTGCCGTTTAGCAGAGAAGGTGCTTTCAGCGTTTCAGGAATCGTGAATTGATAATACGCTTTGCCCTGCTGCGTCAGTTTTGGCTTCTCCCAATCCAATTCTCTGTTTTTCAAAATTGGAGCGGACATTCCCAAAAACAAACGAGTCCCACTGTGTCGCACTTGTGCCGGGTGACTGTGTCCTTCTTTACATACGGAACTGCTTCCAATTCACAGGAAGCTTCCACCTTGCGGCCTACTGCTGGAGGACCGAACAGATTAATAGCGGACACTTCAATGTCAAGTTCCTCTCCAAGTTTGTAGGTGGATTTATCCGCTGTTACAGCGACTTTTATCCGATCAGGCATAAATTCTTCAACCTGAAATTGGACTCTTCCAACGACCCGGTCAGCGATCCGCATCTTGGCGATATAATTACCAGTCAGGGCATAGTCAGGAATGGGAATTTGCACATCGCAGGCACCGCTTTTGTTTGTTTGCAGTCTTAACTCTCGCATGATTCTGCCATTTGGGGAGAGCACTTCAATCCGTGTGGGAAGCGGTTGTGGTGTTACCTGCTTTGGTCCTCGAACAATTCCAGCAAGTTGGACGGTTTCGCCGGGTCGATAGACGCCTCTGCTTGTGTAGAGAAACGCTTCATAACCTTTTTGCAAGTAGGCAGAGCCGGCAATGTTGAAGTCTGCTGTTGCAATTTCGTGTCGGTTGAGTTGAATGAAAGCGAGATCGTCCCGTTTCGCGACGGTAATCATAAACGGTGTGAAGTCTTCTGTCTTCTCCGTAACATCTGTGAACTCAACATATCCTGCCCAGTTAGTTGTCCCCTCGAGTAACGTCTGGTTATTATCACTGATAAGTTTGACGCGCGCTGTTGGTACTGGCGAGCCAGTAGCGAGTGATCTCACCCAAACGTATAGCCTATCTCCTGTGCGTTTGGCACTGATCCCCAAATCCGTGATGAGCACCCATTGATGCGCGCTGTCCCACTCCCTCTCTGCGTTTCGCGCCACAACCTTGAAGATACCGACATGTTCGTCTGAGAGATATTCTTCCAAGGAGATAGGTGTTGTTACCTCCTCGTTCAATTGGGCGGGGATATCAAGCTCTTCTGTATGAATAGGTTTACCTAAGTTGCTGCTCCAGCGACTCCATCGTTCTAATTTCGACACATAGATAAGATTGTTCGCAAAAACTTTTTCGATATTGAGTTTCACACGTTTAATGTTAATTGTTGCGAGACCTAAGTTCAGTTGACCCTTTCTCGCGAGGAAGAAACCGTCGCCGAGAAACCGAAGTTGGGGTCGGATATCCGGAATTTTGAGGCGCGTCATATAATCTTGTTTTAAGACGGCATCGTTTCGGGCTGTTAGACCGTGCCGAATCTTCAGCGTGTAGGTAGTGCGCCGTTTGAAATTGCCGTGAATCTGTACGTTTCGATAGTCGGATGTCACCTGATATGCTACTGCTGGTGTCAGTTCTATGTACGGCTCAATAGCATCACTGAGTACCGGTGCACTGAAACTCACCGAAATATAGGGTGTTCCAGCACTTTCCCAAACGTCAGAGTATGTTACGCCAAGTGTCCCTCTCCCTCGGAGTATTACCGGTGTAACACTTGATTTTTCTAAACCAATTTTCCCACCTGTACATTTGAACCCTTTTTCAATCTTAATCTTTATCTCTCGGTCTGCGCTGCCGCGTTTTATGCGTGTTGTCTCGAATTTTACCGTTCGTGCTGTCGCTGTGTTGGTTTCAATCTGATAGGGGATTTCTGTTTCGTCATTGAGTTCAATAGAGAGGTGTGCCTTTAAATCGACAATGGTTACAGGATAATTGAATGCTATCGTGCCGAAACCTGCTGCGTGTTCACGGGCATCATCGGAGGTAAATTCCATGCGTGCTTGCTGCACTGCGAAAGGATCGGTAGCAAATTTAAATTCTTTTTGGCCGGTGAGTAGAAATGTCTCAGATGGGTTGAGTTCTGGTGTGAGTTGAACAGTATATTGTGCGGCGGGTGCTAAAGGTGCATCTAAAAAGAAACCGACTCTATCGCGCGCTATCCAGCGGGCACTGCCTTGGACAGCTGGCGTAAACCGAAGTGCCTCTGCTGGAACTTCGGTCCCGATACGCGATTTGTCAATAATTGCCTCCGAGAACGTAATCGAAAAATCGACCCATTGTGGAACCTCCCCTTGTGGTGTGAAGGTCTTGACACTGTATCGTGTCCGGGCACGCATGTTACTCTGTACAATGTAGAGGATAGAGGCACCAAGGAGTAAGGACATCAGCCCGATCACGCCGATTAAGCTTTTTAAGAGCAAATTTCGACTTCCAGATTTCGCCGAAAGATTTTTGGAGAGTTTGTCTGTCATCAGAAGTACCTCCTATGCTCTGAAGATTCTGTCCTTATAATTTTCCTGTTCAGGGCAATTTAAGGGATTATTTGTAGGTGCAATCGTCCGGTCGCAACTCTTGCTTTAGGTATTGCTTATAGGCTTCCAGTATTGTGGATTAAGGCTACTTGTCAAGTTACACCGATGATTTAATCAACGAGCATAACAGGACAAAAGATACTTAAGTTCCAAAGCAATTTTTATGCCAACTGACTATTGTTATTGCGTTGAGCGTTTAAGGTGTAGTCGTCAAGTCTAACTGTTACCGAAAAAGGTAAGAAAGGTGTCTTTAGGTGACCTTATGTGTAAAAATAAACACATAGGGACGGATGTGGAAATCCGCCCCTACACGTGGAGCATTTTTGGATGTAGTGTTTGAGCCAAAACTTGTTCTGAATAGAATTGAGTACCTTGATGCCGGCGCAAAAGCCTTTAGAACCAGAAGCGTGACATTAAAATAATCTGATCTGTACCTTGAAGTTGGCGGAGTGTGCCTTTGTCTGTAATGGTATCATCTGCACTGTGATCAGCGTTGGCGAGATTTGCCCAGTAAAAGAGAGAAATTGCCCCGTTTTCGATAAAATTGTACTGAGCACTGAGTGTTACCCGTTGGCTTGCATCTCCCTTAACCATTCGATCTGGGATCGAACAGACCGTACCGACCTGCAACGGTGAGTTGGCGGAGGATGCGATATTTTGCCCCGACGTAATACCCCTTTTGAATCAACAGCATCCGGTGTGAAAGCGGCTACCTCTCCGCTATTTCCAAAATTGAATTCACCCTCGATACTCACACCTGCGTAGGAGGCGGTGAGAAATGCACCGATGAGGCGTTCCCAGTCTTCACTCGGTTTTTCAAGTATTGCGGATACTCCTGCTCGAATCGGTCCGAGTTGGGCACCAAGGGTCCCGAGTCCACCTTTTGCTGCGGCGTTGTTGGCGTTAAAGAAAGCCGCATTATAGAAAATTTTTCCGGCACTTCCACCGATTTCAACGCCGATATCCCGTTTGTTAGAACCGAGTCCGTACCCCTCCCGGACGAGGATGTTGTGGTCCTTATGTTTGATAGCGAACGGCAGCCGAAATTGTCCGACTTTGACATAAAGATGTTTTGGAATAGCATCTACCGTTGCAAACGCATTCAACGTTGTTCCAACGTTATTGGAAAGGGTAAGCCGAACGTGTTCAGAGGCTTGTGCGTTGAACGTTACTTCTGCTTGCATGAGCAGAAATCTGTCGATCGAAGAGTGACATGAATTACATCCAGCGATCGCCCCACTCCCTTCGCTGCCCTCTTCGCTGACATGCGTTGTTTTGATAAAAGCGGTCTGAAAATCAAGGGAAGTGGTGAGTTGCTTGACAACTTCCTTGGCTTCCTCTGTCACGGCTTCCATGTCAAAATCTTCGGGAAATTCAAAATAGTTCTCTTCAAAAATTTCGCCGATCCGATTCCGGGGTCCACCGCCAGCTGGGTCGAGATGACAAAAGCTACACTCTTTCTCGAGCTCGGCGGCAAACTCAGGTCGTGCCTCCACGACGCTCGGGAAAAAAAGACTGAGTGAGATACCCGCTATGAGCGCGAGCCATAGAAGCAATGATACACCTCCGGATATGTCCAACGGTCTTGGTAGTGAGGTCATATTACTAAGGTATCTCGCCCAGTCGTTGTCGTGTGAATTCAAAAGATTCTCCTTATCTTTTAGTCAAGTTCCGTGAAAACGTAATCAATATCTTTGACTCCGGCGTGGCATCCCCAACAGCTACGACCTTCCGCTATAACGCTGAACTCAGCATCTGGTGCGTTTCGGACGTATTCAATGAACTGCCAATCGTTGTGATCGGGGTCCGCACCTGCTTTCTTCCGCATAATCGCGATGAGCCCAACATAATCCTTACCAGGACGGGATGCCTCCTTTACAACGATGCTTCCATCTGGATATGGGAACTGCTGTATCCCGTTTGGTGCGATAGTGTCCCGTGTTTGATTTACATGGACGTTTTTTGTGCCGTTGTGCGGGTCACCGCCAGGTGCAGGAGGGATGGGTTCTGCGTTTAGTTTAAGCCATTGTGTGTAACCTGCCACATCATCGGGCAAGCCGGGGAGTGCGACGACTGGTTCGTCGGGTTGGGTAGATTCTTCCAGAGTTGTAGTTTCTTCTTCGTTGGATTGTTGAATGATTTCTTCCAATTGCTTTTCGCTGGCACAAGCGGTGAAGAGTAGAGTGATCGCCAGTACAGCCAGCAGGTTGCGTGTGCGCATTTTCATGATGAATACCTCATTTTTTTCAAGAACAGATGAGTTCTTATATGTCGTTGGTAAGGTTCTTGGGGGGACACCCTATCAAAACACCTCACCTGTTTCCAACCTAATTTTACTAAGGTGATGTTTTGTAGAGTAGCCGTAGAGGGTTACCCCTCTACAGCCCTCACCGAACCGTGCGTGCGACTTTCACCGCACACGGCTCTCCGAGTCATCACTAATATAGTCCTTAAGATTCCTAATATAATCAATCCTTTCGGTTTTGACTATGTTATTCATCTTTTTACGAGAAAGTCGCTTATGTAGATCAATGTGGCATTCTTGGTGCAGTAGACGAAGGTTGCTATATCTATCTGTGCCTCCGAATGTGCGAGGAAGCATGTGATGGGCATGTATCTCGCCATTGAATACTTCTTCTTCAGTTATTTGCGATTTACAGTAGGGACAAAACCCTTCTTGTATCGAAAATAGTTCACGAAGTTTTTTTACAAACAATCTGTTAAGAGTGTTGTGATATTCACGATTTCTCCAGTAGTCAGCATTATTTGCGGAGTAAACCCGCATTTTGTTTTTTACTATTACGAACCGTTTTTTCGAGAAAATGTCGGACATGCGGACAAGTTTGATGTTATTTTCGTTGTCCGTAAAATCAGAGGTTCTGGTTCTACTACGACTTGAGTAATACTTTCGTATTAGCCATTTAGTAGTTTTACCAGGGTGTTTCCTTTTTGCCCAGTTGAGTGTTTTATTCCAGGTTGTTTTATCAATTGTGCCAAAAGTGGTACTACTGACAACAAATCTGTAGTAATTCGCCCAACCTTGCAGTTTAGGATTGAGAAGATGTATAAGGTTAACTTGTCTGGAAGCCTTATTTCTGTCAAAAATCTCTTTACACTCCTTTAGGATTTTTATCAACATTTTTCCGTTGGGGTTTTATCAAGAGTATGTGATCGCTCGGTTCGTTTGATTTCTTAAGAATCTTCTTATACTTGCGTATATTGAACCCTAAGAAATCGAACCCATCATAAATGTGAGTGATCTTGGTCTTTTCATCAGAAAGTGTTAAACCTATTGTAGAGAGATGTTCCTTGATGTCATGTTTGATGTCGACCGCAATTGTTTTAGATTTGCATACGACTACAAAATCGTCTGCGTATCGTACTAATGGGATTACTTTATTCTCCCCAGTTTTCCAACCATGGTTTTTGTCAATGAAGTCATCAAGGCTTGTCAATGCTACATTTGCCAATAGAGGCGAGATTATACCGCCTTGTGGCGTACCTGTTTCATTGTCAAATATTTCACCATTGTGGAATATCTTTGCTTTTAAAAAGCCTTTCAGTAGACTTGTCGCAAAATTAGGGACTTTCCACGATTTCAAAGTGTTAACTATGTGATCGTGGGATATGTTGTCAAAGCAACCTTTTATGTCGCCTTCTACAATGTATCTTGGTCTGTATTTGTTGGCAAGTTTATTGAAAAGCAGTCCGATTGCGTCATGACAACTTCGTTTTGGTCGGAAGCCAAAACTGTTGTGATGAAAGTGATATTCCGTAACGGGTTCAACGGCTAACCTGAGAATCTCTTGATTTATTCGATCTTTTATTGTTGGAATGCCTAACGGACGTTTCTTTCCGTTTGCCTTTGGGATATAAACCCGTCTGATGTTATCAGGTTTAGCATTGATGTCAATTTCATCGAGAAGTTTCAGTTTCATTGCATCTGCTTTAGGTTTATTGCCTTTAGGTAATCCTATACCGTCAATTCCAGCAGTATTTTTCCCTTGGTTCATTGTGGTAACACGATGAACCGCGAGTATTTTTACTGCTTGAGATCGTTTCGTTAGTAAGTCAAAAATATGCTGAATACGTTTGACATTATTAGTGGCAACCGCTTTGTCTAATCGTTGTTGTATCGAGAAGACGTATCGTTCGCAGTTTTTGATGTTTTCTGCGCTAAATATGTCTACTTCTGGGGATCTACGTGTAATCACGATATTAGTTCCTTTCAGATTTGATACATTATTATTGATTATTCAAAGTATTGACTCTAATTGTGCTTAGCGTATTGCTACGCATATACAATTTCCTCAACCTTGTCAACTTTTTGGTTGATTACAAAAAGTCAATTTAGGTTCTGTTCAATTTCCAGATAAAGGATTTCATAACCAATTTAGGATTAACCTATATCCCGATGTGTTGCTAATCGCAACTTTGTGTCCGATTAACCTAATTGAAATAGCAGAAGAAAAACTATTTCTTTGTTATAGAACCATTAAGTCTATAATTTAGACACTACAATTTTTTCAAGGCTATTGTCTTACCTTTTACGAGACTTGAAGTTATTCAACTTTAGTTTATCCATGTTAGTTTTGTCAGACGCTTCAATTTCGGATGCTGGGATTATTACTAATCGCAATTTTGCCTGTATCCTCAGAAGTGCGCCGTTTCCTCTTGCTTCCCACCCTTCGTTTCCGAAGTAGCAGTTAGAGTAAGACATTGGAAGTTAGGCTTTCCAAGTGGGAATTGAACCCACATTCCTTAATCATTTATTGAACCGCACTAATGGTTTAGTATGTAATACGAAGAAAAATTGTATCTTAATGACACAATTTAGTATAGAACAAAATAGTAACAATTTCAAGAGAATCTGCGCGTCTCTGTTTTCGCAGAAGGCTTATGTTGAAGGAAGTGCGATGAATGCGCTGAATTTATGGGATTTTGCGGAGCCTTCGATGGTGGTTCTAATGTTCGCCATGTATTTATATTGATATGGATGCACGTGTGAGTTTCGTTTGCCTTTTGCTTGTTGTTGTTGTATTATATGCAAGGATGGACAAGGTTTCTGCTGAAAGTTTAAACACAAAATAGGAACAAAAAAGGAAAGATAATGCTCAGGAATTTGTTTAAAGGTGAGGATAAAAGCCACGGTGAATCCGATGTTGTAGACAAGCAAGGGAACTGGTTTAATCGGCTCAAGTCCGGCTTGGCGAAAACCCGGGACCAGTTCCTATCTCAATTGTCAGGGCTCCTCCGGGTTGGAAGAAGAATTGACGAAGAATTGATGGAAGAAATCGAGGAAATTTTAATCCAGTCAGATGTAGGAGTTGATACAACCTTGACGTTAATGGATAATGTTAGAGAAAGGGTGAAGGCGGAGGGATTGAGCGATTCGTCAGAGTTGGCATCCGTTTTAAAATCGGAAATCCTGAATTTGCTTGGAGAGGATGTGCCGTTGCAAATTAAAGATGAGAAACCGTATACGATTTTAGTGTTGGGTGTGAATGGTGCGGGAAAAACGACAACTATTGGTAAACTCGCAAGTCGCTTTACTACGAGCGGACACCGCGTGCTCGTTGCTGCGGGTGATACGTTCCGTGCGGCAGCGGAGGATCAGCTCAGTATTTGGTGTGAGCGCGCTGGAGCAGAACTCATCCGGGGCGGCGAAAATGCTGAACCCGCTTCTGTCGTCTTCGATGCAATTCACGCGGCGAAGCATCGCGATGCGGATGTACTCATCGTAGATACCGCTGGCAGACTACATACCAAAAAACCGCTGATGGATGAATTGTCGAAGATTGGACGTGTGATGGAGCGAGCACACACCGGTGCACCGCATGAGGTACTGCTTGTCGTTGATGGGACGGTGGGTCAGAACGCTCTGATGCAGGCGAAGGTTTTTAATGATACGGTGCCGATTACGGGAGTAGTCGTTACAAAACTCGATGGCACTGCCAAAGGGGGGATCGTAATCGCGGTGAATGCGGAAATCGGCGCACCCGTCAAACTTATCGGCATTGGTGAGAAACTCGACGATTTGCGAGATTTCGCGGGTGCAGATTTCGTTGATGCACTCTTCGCAGATGAAACAGCAGAAGCGTAAGGAACACCGAATTCTGTTCTCTACATGTGAGACGTTTCAAGACCTGATGACTTACCTACATCATACGGGTATGCGCGCTGGGCAAGCGCGCATACAACAATTCTTAAAAATCTGTTTCTCGCAGGTAAGGGCGGAGGTGTTTGCGAAGATTGCGATGCGCGTGGAGCAGGTGAGCTTTGACTGTTCCATCGGATCGTCCAACAGTAGCCGCAATATCTTTAAGCGATAGCCCATCCCAGTGTCGTAAAATGAAGATTTGCCGCTGCTTTGGCGGAAGCCGACGGACTGCTTTCCGGATTTGGGCTCTCAACTCCTTATTCTCGACTGCTTTTGCTGGTGATTCTGAGCGGGGATCCGCAACGTTGGACATCGGCAGTTCCTCGGAGTCGTTGGAGTCGTACAGGAGCACTTCCGATCTCGATTTTTTCCGTAGGAAATCGATACAGAGATTCACCGTGATTCGGTAAAGCCAACTGTAAAACTGACACTGACTCTTGAAGGCGCCTAATCCTTGATATGCGCGTATAAAAGCGTCTTGTGTCAGGTCCGATGCATCTTCTGGGTTTGGGACGAAGCGTTGCACCAAACGATAGGTGCGTTTTTGGTAGCGGGTAAAGAGCATATCAAATGCGGCGGTGTCGCCTTGTTGAAATCGCTCAATTAGTTCAACATCCTCGTTACATTCTGGAGGGATGCTTTCTGGGCTTTGAGACTGCATGTTCTCCTCTTAAGCGTCATTGACCGGGAAAGTGGTTGCTGGCTTTCAGCGAAATTTGCTATACAAACCTCGCTAAACCGTCATTGGAAACGGAAAATCAGAAACTCAAGTGGTCGCTGACAAAATAGAAGTCACTAATTCGTTTGTTTATGGACACTGCGAAACCAACGTCTATATCTTTGGCTATCTTGAACCATCTGTTGTAGGACGGTTAATTCCTCGTCTCCTTCGGCATGAGGATTCGTCTCGAGCAAGGATAACAATTCCTCATAGACTAAGGAGTCTTCATGAACAAGTGATGAGAGGAGTCTCTCGAAATTCTCACCATGTCCGAGCATTGCCAAGAGTTGGTTCGTATGGCGTATCTCCTCGGAAGCAGCTTGGTTCAAGTACGCTGCGAGTTCATGTTCATTGCGCTTTTCGGCGATTTGTGCGAGAATCAATCGCATCCCGACAAGTTTGAGTTTTGCTTGTGCAAGTTCGTCCAGATCCGCTTCAAACCGTTTTTGTAGGTGGTCTGCGTCACGTGGATGTAACTGTGCATAACTTGGCCACACCGGCTTCGCCATCACCTGTTTCAGCCGTTTTAGGCTTTCAATCAGGTTTTCCTGCTCTTGTGTGGATAACTGCCCAAAGGTGCTTTCCCAAAAGTGTGTCGCGTGTTTTACGCGCTCTCGGAAAAGTTGTTCAGCCTGTGGCGTGAGTTTAATCCGCGCACGTCTCCGGTCCTCATCACATTTACGACGGACTACCCAATCGTGCCGTTCAAGGCGACTGACTAAGGCGGATGTTGTATTATGGGCGAGACCCAAGTGTTCGCCGAGTTCACTCACTGACATACCAGCGTCGCGCCCATACCAATGAAGATGTTGGAGAGCGTTGAACTGGACAATCGTCAGACGATTGGGGACGACTTCCTGAATAAACCTGGATTTGACAGCCGCTTGCGCATGGCGCATCACACGCATCACGACATCAATTTCATTATGGAATTCCTGATCTTTAGACATTTTTTGGCGATACTTGTGAGCCAAACTTACTGTTGAATGAAAGTCGGCGGTGTAGGGCGTTGTTTTCAACCCCCGTGTTAAATCATAAAAATTAATATATCCTATATTGGATATATTTTCCGTCGTATGCGATATAATAATTATACACCGACTTTATCCAGATGTCAAGTGAAACCGCAAAAAAATAGTAAACTTCGGTGTTTTTTAGTCTAAACTCGGTATTTTGCTAAAATTCTCTGCATTTTTCACAAAATTAGCAGTTTTTAGTTGCTGCCGACGAGACGCTCTGCCTTCATTTTTTGCTTTCGCTTTGATTTCGACTTAGGTTTCGGTGAGTTAGTTTGGATGTGCTGTGTCTCTTGGTTGTTTTCACGCTGTCGATTCGCTTGAAGTGCTTGTTGCTGCTGTGCCACATACTCGGCATAGTTGCCTTGGAAAAGTTCCGCAGTCCCTCCGGGTTTACCGTCAAAGATTAACAGTTTTGTTGCGAGGTTGTTTAGCAAGTACCGGTCGTGAGAAATAATAAAAAGCGTTGCTGGATATTCCGCCAGTGCTGCTTCCAACGCCTCACGTGCTGGGATGTCGAGATGGTTCGTCGGTTCATCAAGGAGTAGGACATTCGCGTTCGCTAATAGCAACTTCGCGAGTAACACACGGCTCTGCTCTCCTCCGCTCAGGTTCCCGATCCTTTTGAACACATCATCACCGGAAAATAGAAACTTGCTCAAGAAACTACGTATTTCACCCTGTGTATGATTTGGTCGAAGTGCCGAGATTTCGTCGATAATTTCGTTGTCCAGGTTGAGTCCTTCCAATTCTTGTGTATAGTACCCAAACTTGAGCGTGGGACCTACCCACATTTCGCCCTCGGTTGGTGCTTCGTCGCCTAAAATCATTCGGAAGAACGTTGTTTTTCCGGTACCATTCGCCCCGATAATTCCGATAATATCGCGGCGATATACCTCAAAATTCATATCCGTGAAAATGACTTTGTCGCCGAATGCTTTGCCAACCTTTTGGCATCGGAGAATATCATTTCCACCGCGAGTTTCAGGTGTAAAACTCAGGTTGAGGGTAGGGGCATCGAGCTTCGGTTTTTCAAATTTTTCCAAGCGGTCCAGTTTTTTCCGCCTGCCTTGTGCCTCTCTTGTACGCTGTCCCGCAATATTGCGGCGAATAAAGTCCTCTTCGTGTTCGATAAACACATGCTGTTTTTTGAATGATCGTTCTGCGACTAATTGTTCAATCCCTTTTAGTTTCAACGTACTTGGAGTAGTTTCCCCGATAAATTTTTATCTGATGGTCTTCGAGTTCCCAAACCTTTCGGACAACCTTGTCTAAAAAGTATCGATCGTGAGAAACAACGAGGACTGCGCCGTTGTATTCGATGTTGAGGTAGTTTTCGAGCCACTCAATCCCGTTGATGTCAAGATGATTTGTTGGTTCGTCAAAAAGCAGTAAGTCTGGCTTTTCAAGGAGCAACTTTGCGAGTGTTGCTCGGCTCTTTTGTCCACCGCTGAGGACACGAATTGGGAGATTGAAGTCAGGTTCGCTGAAACCTAAGCCGCCGAGAATACGATTGATCTCGTGTTCATAATCGTAGCCACCGAGTCGTTCGTGCTCTTCTTGAATCCGAGCGTACGCTGCTAAAAGGTGTGGTGCCTCTTCAGTCTCCATCTCCTCTGCGAGTAGGAGCATTTTATCTTCAAGCGTGCGCCGTTTTTCAAAAACCTTGAGCATCTCCTGCCTTAGGGTACAGTTGTGTGCAAGTTCCGGTTCTTGACTGAGGTATCCGATACGCAATCCCTTTGCGGATACTACGTTCCCTTTAAAATTGGCAAGCGAACCGTTTATGATTTTAAGTAACGTTGTTTTTCCGGTTCCGTTACGGCCAATTAATCCAAGTCGGTCGCCGTGCTCAATTGAGACCGAAATATCGTCGAGAATCAGGTCTGGATCGTACAATTTGGTGACGTGTTCTAATCGTATTAAAGACATATTTTAATTTTACCTTGCGGAGGAACTTCGGACGCTTAGACTTTGACGTGCGTTCCTTTTTTAATTTTACCTTGCGGAGAAACGAAGTGCATTAGGACTTTGAAGCACGTTCCTCAAATCCGCCCTCCATTACATTACGGGCTACGGTTTTGGATTGCATCTCTAACACCTATAACCAAAGGCATAGCCTGCAACAACGGCGCAGGCGGGTTTAAGAAACGCCCTTGATAGTTGAAACGGACGTTATTCCTCCGCAAGGTAAAATTAAAAACCATAAATGTTCGACTTATGAAGTTTAAATTGGGCACTACGGGTAATCATTTCCTGATATGTGTTGGCGCGGTGTGCGTCTGGACGACGGATGTTAAATTGTCTGAATCGCCAGAACGCTATGGAGAGAGCGGCGTAGTGAACGAAGCCGTCTAAGTATTTCCACTCGTTTTCTGTCAAAGGGACGCGATGCGTTATAAGCGTCTAAAAATCGCTGTGCAGATTCAAGGTTTAGTTGGTGCTGTGGTGTGTAACAACAACCGATAAGCGTCATTCCAACATCGATTAACAATGTATCATAACATCCCTCCTCGAAATCGAGGATCGCAACCATCTGATCGCCATCGAAAAGGGTATTATCCAAAAAGAGGTCTCCGTGTAGAAGCCCCATCGGAAGTGATGCGTTGAGTTGTGGTTCCATCGACTCCAATTGCGATTTCAACGATTCAACGAAGGGGTGCGTGGCAAATTGTGTGCCTTGGACCTCCTTGAAAAAAGGGGTCATTTGTGATATCCCCATTGCGAAACGGGGCAGCCCCGCGATTGGTGGAATGCAGTGCAATTTTGCCAACGCCTCACCGAGTTGAGCCAGTGTATCTGGTGAGGATTGTGGTTGTTCTCCTGGCAGAAAGGGATAGAGCATCACACTACCAAATGTCTCGTGTGTGAGTTGTTTTTGGTCTTTCGTTGGAATAGGATATACCGTCGGATACGCGTGCTGGTGGAGCTGTTGCAACAGCTGCGATTTGCATGTTGAGTTCTACTGAGTCTTTTTCATCGCAAATTTTGAGCAGAAACTCCCCCTCTGTGGTCGTCAGTTTAAAGTTGCTGTTCCCAAATCCGCCGGGAATCTCCTCGAGTTTCAGTGCCGTGCCGATCGGATATTGTAAGACGATGCGGTCGAGTTCTGTGGGTGAAAGGGTTGTGTAGCGCGCCATATTTTATCGCGGGGATCTTGCTAATTTGATTCAGTGCTTTTCTCTAATCTTGAAATTCTGGAGAATTACGAATGTTGTCAAATGCGGGTTCCGTTTTCGCGGCGGAAAATGCCGCCTTGTCCACGCGAATTGCCTCACGCAATGCGGCAATTGAGAGACCTTTCTCTGCCTTATGTGAATAGGCAACCGCGAGGTTGTAATGTGCTTTCGCGAAGTCAGCATCTAAATGAGTGGCGCGCTCCCACGCTTGAATGGCTTTGTCGAGTTCTCCCAAATTTCCATAGACAACGCCTAATGTGAAAAATGGCATTACCCACCCCGGTTCACTCTGGATTGCCAAGCTGAGTTCCATGATGGCTTGTCCAAAATTGTCTTCCTTGGCGTACGCCATCCCCCAATTATAGTGAGCAACGGCAACATCGTTCGGTTCAGGTGCATCCGTGCTTTGTGAATAGGGGATCGCTTTCGGACCGCATGCGGTGAGACAAAGCATCAAACCTATGATTAATAGTAACCCGCCGAGGCGTAGTTTGTTCAGTTCATATAGAAAAGTCATAATTTCCTCCGTCTCTCCGTTAAATATTAGCAGAAGATAGGATTGGAATCAAGGTCCCTCTGATTTTTCTACGTAAATGGCGTAGACTTTCGGGTCTTCTGGACGGATTCCGGTGTAATTCAGCCTGATTCGGATTGCGCCGTTTCTCCCGTCAATCCGTTCTCCGTTTTTCCACGCCACCGTCTGATGAAAACCCGATGTGAGAGGGAGGCAGTCTTCTCTGGTATATCCTTCGATTGGTTGAAAACGCTCGTCTAAAATGTCAAGTGTAACCTGGCTGTGCGCCGACAAACCGTCAACATTCAGTGCCACTGTGCAAGGCTGTCCTTCAAGATCAATGGGTGCCGAAATCACGTGGCGGAGTTGTTCCGTTTTCCGACGCATGTCCGCTGTGCTGAGGTAGCCGAGTCGATCGCGTTTCCACGTTGCAATCCGTACGCCGTTACTCAACTGCTCTGGCCAGGGAGCATACCAGAAAAGTGTCTCATCGCCAACATTCTCAAAACCTTGTCCCTGCATAAGAGCGGCGTGTTTGAAATTCATCGGTGTTGGTAAGTGTTCAAAGTCGTCTTCTGCTGCTTCTACCATCTGAAAATCTGGAATCGGTTCACGATAGTGCAGCGCGTCGTTGCTGACGACTAAGCCGATATCCATCGTCACATGCCGACGGTCGTTATTTTCCGGTCCGTGCCACTGCCCATAGAAGCCGAGAATCACATTCCCGCGATTCCATAATGCCGCACCGAGATGGACCTGTTCCCCTTGGTGTGCCCCATACGCCACGGGGCTTGGTGGGATGTTACCCCGCCTGAATCCCAAGCACGAGGCTTCGATCCAATGTTCGAAATCGTAGGACGCATACATCACCATCTGCCGTGTAGGACCCATGTGGCTTCCACCGTGCGCGCTCAGATAGTAGCATCCGTTGAATTTCGTAATACCGGACATTTCGCAGGAGGGTGGATTCGGATGTCGTTCAGCTTCGTGCCATTGAAGTCCGTCTTCACTGAACATAACTGCGAATTTTGGAGAATATTTGGATGTTTCAATGATGGCTTTGAACCGGCGTGTGGGTTCCGGATCGTCTGGCTCATAATACACTACACACGCCTGAATATGATATTGTCCACCTTGTATATCGACGAGGTTGTTTCGGGTGGAGCCGTTGTATGCTACCAGTCCGAGTTCCGGTTTCTCCCAGTTGTATCCATCGCGGCTTTTTGCGAAACACACTCGTTGATGCCAACTCTCGTCGTCTCCATGTCCAAGATACCACATCCAGAGTTCGTCGCCGACGCGATGGATAGACCCGTAGTAGATGACGCGGGCACTGTCTGGCGCGCCTGGCGGACCGGGATGCACCACAATTTGGGTTCGATCGACCCCGGCTCTGTAAGGCACAAGTTGTAAATGAACACCGTGTTGAAACGGGATACTGTAATCGTCAAAGGGGAACAGCACTATCTGATCGGTGCTAACGTGTTCAGGATTATTTTTGATAATCATTTTTTTAATTATTAAGTTTTTGCTCTGCTTTCCACTACGTTCCAAGCAGGTTTTTGGTGAAAAGCGAACGAGGCAAAGGACCTGTTCGGTCTTGGAAACCAAAACCTACCCGTAATGAAATTATGCCTTAAATGGCATAATTTGTCTTTGCTTTACATTTGGAGGACAGCCCAGGAGGCCATAGTTAGAAAAACGTTTCCAACTGAAGACTATTCCTTTAAGATTGCTGCGTAGGCGAGTGGTTTAACCCTCTCGCTCAGTTCGGAAAACGGGATATGCTGTGCAAGGGTGATCGCCACCAATTCGTCTCGTGGTGAGATCCAGAATTCGGTGCTTGCCCCGCCGATCCAGCCATATTCACCGACTTGGGAAGCAGGTACCCAGCCCGTTTGTTGGACACGAACCGAGACACCCAATCCGAAACCGAGTCCGGCATAACGTTCATCCGGTTTTTTATCGAGCGGTATCAAATACTCTGGTAAATGATTGCGCGTCATCAATTCGACAGATTCCGATTTCATCAACTGTTTTCCCTCGAGTGCACCTCTGCCTAAGAGCATCAGACAAAATCGAGTAAAATCAGCAGCGGTAGAGACCAAACCACCACCGGCAGATAGGAGTTTCGGTTTCTGTATAAAACTATTTTTGGATACACGACCCGTTCCGCCCTCCGGGGCATCAATGGTTTGCAGACCTCCCCCGGGTTTTGGACCGGACATGCTCGCGAAACGGTTTATTTTCTCCATCGGCACATAAAATCCGGTATCATGCATACCTAACGGTTGGAAGATCCGATCGGCTAAAAATACATCAAAAGACTGACCGGAAGCCACTTCAATTAATCTTCCCAAGACATCTGCGGCGATGCTATAGTGCCATTTTGTTCCGGGTTGGTACAACAACGGAATCCTGCCAAGCCTCTCAACCATCTCCTGTAGGTCGCACGCATGCAGAGCGATGTAGACCCGCCTCGCGGTAGCATTTGTCAACCGCTGTTTGCCCTGTCATGTATCGGGCGGCACCGGGCAGTCCGGCGGTGTGGACGCATCAGATCGCGGACGGTCATATCCCGATCTGCTTCAACCAACGTGAGTGATTCTCCCTCTGCATCCGCCGCTACTTTCAACTCACCTAATTCGGGAAGGTACGTCGAAGCCGGGGCATCCAGCTGCAGTTTTCCTTCCTCACAGAGCATCATTACTGCGGCGGCGGCGATCGGCTTGGTCATTGAATAGATAGGGAAGATAGTATCTCTTTGCATCGGCTTACTCGCTTCAACATTCATCATGCCGGATGCCTCGAAGTGTGCCACTTTACCGCGCCGTGCCACAACCGTGACCGAACCCGCGAGTCGCTCTTCGTCAATAAACTTTTGCGAAGTCGTGGAGATACACGTAAGCCGTTTCGCTGAGAGTCCCACCTCGTGCGGTGCTGCGATTAGGTTGGGATTTAATTCTGCGGTGTTCATCATGGCATTCTTCTTTTTGAGGAGGATTTCGGGTGCTAAGGATTTACGGATTCCTGTCGTTAAGGATACCACAAA